TTTCATCACTTTCTTGAAAAAAAAAAAATTTTTTTTTTTTTTGCGTTTTTGAGCTGTTTTCCCTCTCCCTTTTAGCTATATCCTGTTTTATTTAAATTTCTTTTTTTCCTTTTTCCTCATTTTCATTTTTAGAAATTTCAACTATCTTTATCTTATGTGAATGTTCTGCTTTTTGGTTTTAATTTTGCATTCTTGATCTCCTCTTTAAACACGAGATATATTTTCCTTATACTTTTATATAAGTAGCATCAACTCATTCACAAGCTAAAAAAAATAAAATTCTTTTGTTTTCTTTAATCTTTTTCATTTCATTCGAAAACTTGTTTTCCTTCTATTCAATTTATTTTCTTTTTTTTTTTTTCTTTTTACTTTTCTTTTTTATTTCGTTCGTTTGTTCTTTTCTTTCTTCGTTTACTTTTCTTTCTTCTATGCATTTTTTTATCTTTGTTTTTTTTCAAATTTATTTCTTTATTTATTTCTTTCTTTCTTTTCTTTCTTTCTTCATTCAAAACTTTTTTTTTTCATCTATGTCTTTAAATCTTTTCTTTCTTTTTTTATTTCTTTCTTTCTTCTTCCGTTCTTTCTTTTTCTTTCTTTAAATCTTTCTTTATATTTTTCGAAAAATTTTTCCTTCTATGCCGCCTTCCTTCTTTCTTTCTTTCTTTATTTCTTTTTTTTTTTTTTCTTTTATAAATTTTTTTCCTTCTATTTCGCTCTTCTTATTTTTTTTTTTCTTTTTTCTTTCTTTTTTTTTTTTCTTTTCTTCTTCAATTTCTTTTTTATGCTTTTTTTTAAAAATTATTTCTTTCTTTCTTTCTTTTTTCTTTCTTTTTTTCTTCAAATTTAGAAATTTTTTTTCATTCTTCTTTCTTTTTTATTTTTTTTTTTTTTTTTTTCTTTTTATTTTATTTCTTTCTTTCTATGCCCTATTTTTTTTCTTTCTCTTTCTTTTCTTTTTTTTTTTTTTTCAGTCTTTTATTTTTTTTTTTTTTTTTTTTTTTTTTTTTTTTTTTTTTTTTTTTCTTTTTTTTCTTTTTTTTTTTCTTTTCTTTCTTTTTTCTTTAAATTTCTTTCTTTCTTTCTTTCTTTCTTTTTTTTTGTTCGAAAAAATTTTCTTTTTCATTTTAAAAAATTTTCTTCCTTCTTTTTCATTTTTCTTTCTTTCTTTCTTTCTTCGAAAGTTTTTCTTCCTTCTATGCCGCCTTTTTCTTTCTTTCTTTGATAATTCCTACTTAATGTTTAATTATTTTCCACAATCATTTTCCTCTACATTTACTTCTTTCTTTTCTTTTTTTTTTCTTTCTTTCTTTCTTCATTTCGAATTTGTTAATATTGATATTATACACATCTATACAATTATCCCCCAAAATGAATTCCAAATATGAAATGGAAAACATCTATTTATACGAGCGGAAATCAGAAAGTAAAGATAATTTTTGAAATTACTCGGGAAAAACAACAGGTAGGCATTGATGCGCGACAACATGCATTGTTCTGTCGAGTTTTAAGGAGTAACGATTTCAAATATCTATTTTAATTCCACTTCGATTTTTATATCGGGGAACAATTTACAATTGGCGCTTTTTCTAAATGGAAAGGATTCAAACTTTTTTCTACCTAACGCCGGGTGTTTCGTGATATAGAGCGCGCACTATGAATTAACTAAATGAATTCTGGGAGTGAATAAAAACGCTTTAAAGCGGACAGAACAAGTGTAATTTAAAAAAGCCGACCTTTTTTTCCATAACATCCCGCACGGATGGACACATCCAGAGGATGGATGCCTTGATCAGTGAAGATCGACGAATAACGTTCACACAAGTGGCAGCAATCGTGGGCATCAATTATGGATTTACACAATCCGTAGTGCATGACGGCTTGGGGTACGTATAGTTTCTGCGCGTTGCTTACCCAAACAAACAATCCGGTGCAGACGTGAGCAATCGAAAAGATTCTTTTTCAGAAGGGATGAAGAAGCTTGTTGATCGATACCGAAAGGGCATCACAGTGCAGGGGCAATATATCGAACAGTGTCATATCGATCCGTTCTTCATCAATGGAAAGAAAGGAGTTGATTCAAATTGACTTCAATTTTTGGATTAGGAATGACGACACCTTTATTCTAAACACGAAAACCTCTAATAATGTTATGATCCCAGAACTTTTATCAATATTATGTGCCCTGAAATGTCCTAATATAATCAAAAGGACGTTTATTAAAAAGCCGAACACAATAAATCTTTTAATATCATGAAGCCGAATACTTCATTTCATATTAGGAACACAAAACAATCTGTTTATACATTGATTGAAACAATTCTACTGAATGGATCAAAATCTTGGTTATCTACTCGTCTTGAAAGACGACTGGATGGAACATATATAAATCTTAGAAAAATCCAGAACACCATGCAACGCTTAACACAATTAACGTAGAACTGAAACTAATGTCTCTTAAGCTCAAGCAAAAACGATTGCAGTGTGACGGCCACTGTCACGGAATTGGTAGGGAAATCGACTCATCCTTACTCTTATGGCATCCTTCTGAAAGTGTCTTCTCACGAAAGCTGACTTTCCCCAGACACCATATTCCAATGACTTAGGGTTGATATTGGGGATTTTCTCTTTTCACCAATGCAGGACCGAACGGTGTGGTAATATCTCAAAGGAATCCGACCCACCAATTCCCAGGTCAAAAGATGATAATGATGATATGTGGAGAAATAAAAGAGAGAGAGAGTGAGAGAGAAAGAGAAAGAGATATAAAGCAATAAATGAGAGAGAGAGAGAGAGATAAAGCAATAAATGAGAGAGAGGAAGTAAGAGAGATGAGTTTGTCAGCCACTGCCACGGAATGGACAGGGAAATTGTCTCATCCTTCCTCCTATGGCATCCTTCTGGAAGTGTCTTCTCACGAAAGCTGACTTTCCCCAGACACCATAGCTCAAGACTCAGGGTTGGATATTGAGGATCTGGAGACAGCAATGCTAGACCGAACAGTGTGGAAAGGGATTCTCAAAGGAGTTCCGACCAAACATAGGATGATAATGATGATATATGGAGCAATAAAAGAGAGAGAGAGATTTTTATTTAGAGAGAGATTCCAAAAAAATGAATAAAAGAAAGAGAGAGAAAAATTCAGATATTTCATTCAAATGCAATTTAATGGACAGGGAAATCGACTCATCCTTCCTCCTATGGCATCATTCTGGAAGTGTCTTCTCATGAAAGCTGACTTTCCCAAACACCATAGTTGGGGACTCAGGATTGGATATTGAGGATCTGGGAGACAGCAATACCGGACTGAACAGTGTGGAAATGGATTGCTAATGGAGTTCAGACCAACTATAGGGAGATCGAAGGATGATGATGATGATGATGACGATGATGATGATAAAGAGATATTTAGCAATAAAAGAGAAGCAGATCAAAGAGAAAGAAAGAGATATAAAGCAAGTAATGAGAGAAAGTAAGAGAGATGGGTTTGCCGGCCATTGCCATCGAGCGGACAAGAAACTCGTCTCATCCTTCCTCCTATGGCATCCTTCGGGAAGTGTCTTTTCACTAAAACAGACTTTCCCATAGCTCAGGACTCAAGGTTGGACATTAGGGATCTGGAGACATCAATATAGGACCAAACAGTGTGGAAAAGGATTGTCAATGGCTTCCAGTAGGGAATAGGGTTGAAGGATGATGAAGATGAATAGTGTGGACGCGTAAATGATGTTAATATTAAAAAACGCGAAAATTTCTATTGCGAAAATGAACACTTCACGAAAATGCAAGATCCTGTGACTATTTTTATAAATTAATCAAACTAATAATAATTAATGTAATAACTATCATTGTGCATTTATTTATATATTTCCTGTCCCATCTATAGTGTAAAGGGATGAAAATAAACTTAAGTTAGTGTTGAAACTTGACTAATGCATGGAATAATAATGCAACACAAAATGTACTTAGAACAAAATGTATTGAAACAAGAAAGTGTACACAATATTTACATATAGTCTTTTGTATATTCCTGGTAAGACCGTTCCTGGAGAATGTGTTGACTGAGTCGCAGTCAAGGCAGAGTCTCTGGTTGAATCTCTTGATTCCTTCCTTCTTCTTCCGGGTACCAACCATATTTATATGGTCGGTACTCCACTATGCAAAAAATTAGGTGGATCCTACCACAACAGTTAGTAAGTTTTACGAGTGATTACTTCCCTTTAGTGATTTTAATAATATATACAAATAAAATATTTATTTGCATTACACAAAAATTAATTCCCGAGCAAAATGAACCGTTTAATTAAGTTCCATCACTCCTACGTTTCCTAGGTTGCAGTCTTATTTGTTCAAGCCTTTCATGCGAGGCACTCAGATACCTTTGTCTGTCAACTGATCGTATTGTTTAAATTTGGTCTTGAAATAGACTTTGTCGTCGTTGTTTTTCTGCCAGTCCTTTTCTTTCAAAAGATATTTCCATTTCACTGTTAAATTAAACATTTTTTAATATTAAAAGATATGCAAAAACGATTTATATATATACCAGGAGTAATCAATGAATCATTGATACAGTTGAAGGTCTAAAAAATAAAGGTAACGAATTAATTAAACAGTTCATTGCATCTTGTTTACTTGTGAATTGTTTATCTCTGTTTTATTGAATCGTAATACATTGTTTCAAAATATTTGTTTCATTGTACCTCACTTTAAATCTTTCTATATATTGCCGTCATTTCTGACGACACGAGCACACCAGTATGTATTTATTCTGTCGAGCCATTTCGGATATTCATGAGTCTATCACGGTCCTGCATCAAGGTCGAAAGGTCATTTGGGTGGGATTCTGTGTCAGATCATAGAAGATCTATGTAGGGGGTTGTTGGGTGACCAACACGCCGAGCTCCATGGTTAGGGGTCCAGGAGAGTAGATCACTCGCAAGTTGCTTGCCAGAAGCGTCCCACGCAACGCCTTCTGCATTCGCGTAACATTGTAGAAATATCAGGGATGGATCTATCTATCTATCTATCTATCTATCTATCTATCTATCTATCTATCTATAAATACACATCTATCTATCTATCTATCTATCTATCTATCTATCTATCTATCTATCTATCTACATACATATATAAATCTGTTAATATCTCAGTATATGCATATCTATCTATCTATCTATCTATCTATCTATCTATCTATCTATCTATCTATCTATCTATCTCAGCCTGTTTATATCTATCTATCTATCTATCTATCTATTATCTATCTATCTATCTCAGTCCGTTTCTATCTATCTATCTATCTATCTATCTATCTATCTATCTCAACCTGTTTATATCTATCTAGCTATCTATCTCAGCCTGTTTATATCTATCATTCATCCATCTATCTATCATTCATTCGTCTATCTATCTCATTCCGTTTCTATCTATCTATCTATCTATCTATCTATCTCAACCTGTTTATATCTATCTAGCTGTCTATCTCAGCCTGTTTCTATCTCTCTATCTATCTATCTATCTATCTATCTATCTATCTATCTATCTCAGCCTGTTTATATCTATCTATCTATCTATCTATCTATCTATCTATCTATCTATATCAGCCCGTTTATATCTATCTAGCTATCTATCTCAGCCCGTTTATATCTATCTATCTCAGCCTGTTTATATCTATCTATCTATCTCAGCCTGTTTATATCTATCTATCTATCTATCTATCTATCTATCTATCTATCTATCTCAGCCTGTTTGTATCTATCTATCTATCTATCTATCTATCTATCTATCTATGATCTAGCTGTATGTTATCTCCAAATGATATTAAGTATAACTCTCAGCATCCGAGTGGCGGTTCCATCCTCCTTAGACTAGGGTTTTAATTAATGCCCAAGCATAGGAACCATAGATTAAAACCATCTCCACAGTGGCTTGAAAGAATCTCCGCTCGAAGTTGCTTAGAAGATCAGATTAAACACATTTTATTCAAAACCTATCTGGCTTTAACTATGCGAATTTTCACTTCATTTTCAGTAGAATTTATTTCATCTCCTGTATATATATATAAAAAAAAAACTCGACAGATTTTATTGATTCACCTGAGACAGTTTCTATTGAGCCTCGCTGATTGAAGCCTATGAATTTTAGAGGCATTGACATAGGGTCTAACATCATTGGAAGCATTTTCTAGATGATGTAGGAGAACTGTGTCATTGTTAATGGTGTCTGCAGTGATAGCACGCTCATCTGCATAATTAATATCTGCAAACTTTTTTGAAGGATATCAATTGTGCTACGTATGTATCCTATGGGCTAAAACATGTGCATAATAAAGGTAAACTGTCACTTTTTCAAATAAAACATATCACATTTTGGAATCTCCAACATTTACAAATCTCATCTTCTCTATAAATAAATGCGAATGTCAGTGTGTCAAACTTTTTCAATTTTACTCATAGAGGCCGTAACCTAACATATCAAACCATTTTGGAATCAGGCCAAAATCCGTTAGCAAATTAAAACTCAATTTGGCATAAGAATGGAACATAGACACAATTTGGCGCAGATGATTGTCTGCAAGATAAGAATAAAAAATAGACTCTATTTGGCGCCGATGGCCGTCTGCGAGATAAGAATGCAACATAGACTCTATTTGGCGCCGATGGTCGGCTGCGAGATAAGAATGCAACATAGACTCGATTTGGTGGCGATGGTCGGCTGCGAGATAAGAATACAACATAGACTCGATTTGGCGCCAATGGCCAGCTTCTTGATAAGAATGCAACATAGACTCGATTTGGGGCCAATGGCCAGCTTCTTGATAAGAATGCAAAATAGACTCGATTTGGCGCCAATGGCCAGCTTGATAAGAATGGAACATAGACTTTTTGGCGCCAATGGTAGCTTCTTGATAAGAATGGAACATAGACTCGATTTGGTGGCAATGGCCAACTTCTTGATAAGAATGGAACATAGACTCGATTTGGGACAATGGCCAGCTTCTTGATAAGAATGGAACATAGACTCGATTTGGGACAATGATTTGGGAATTAAACTTCTTGATAAGAATGGAAATAGACTCGATTTGGGACCAATGGCCAGCTTCTTGATAAGAATGCAACATAGACTCGATTTGGGACAATGGCCAGCTTCTTGATAAGAATGGAACATAGACTCGATTTGGGACCAATGGTGGATAAGAATGGAACAGACTCTTTAGGGACTGGCCAGCTTCTTATAAGAATGGAACATAGACTCGATTTGGCGCCATATGGCCAGCTTCTTGATAAGAATGGAACATAGACTCGATTTGGGGACCAATGGCCAGCTTCTTGATAAGAATGGAACATAGACTCGATTTGGGACCAATGGCCAGCTTCTTGATAAGAATGGAACATAGACTCCAATGGCCATTTGGGAACCAATGGGCCAGCTTCTTGATAAGAATGGAACATAGACTCGATTTGGGACCAATGGCCAGCTTCTTGATAAGAATGAACATAGACTCGATAAGAATGGAACATAGACTCGATTTGGGACCAATGGCCAGCTTCTTGATAAGAATGGAACATAGACTCGATTTGGGACCAATGGCCAGCTTCTTGATAAGAATGGAACATAGACTCGATTTGGGACCAATGGCCAGCTCTTGATAAGAATGGAACATAGACTCGATTTGGCAATGGCTTCTTGATAAGAATGGAACATAGACTCGATTTGGGACCAATGGCCAGCTTCTTGATAAGAATGGAACATAGACTCGATTTGGGACCAATGGCCAGCTTCTTGATAAGAATGGAACATAGACTCGATTTGGCGCCAATGGCCAGCTTCTTGATAAGAATGCAACATACTCGATTTGGCGCCAATGGCCATTTTGATAAGAATGCAACATAGACTCGATTTGGCCAATGGCCAGCTTTGATGGCCTCGATTTGGGGACTTCTTGATAAGAATGGAACATAGACTCGATTTGGGACCAATGGCCAGCTTCTTGATAAGAATGGAACATAGACTCGATTTGGGACCAATGGCCAGCTTCTTGATAAGAATGGAACATAGACTCGATTTGGGACCAATGGCCAGCTTCTTGATAAGAATGGAACATAGACTCGATTTGGGACCAATGGCCAGCTTCTTGATAAGAATGGAACATAGACTCGATTTGGGACCAATGGCCAGCTTCTTGATAAGAATGGAACATAGACTCGATTTGGGAATGGCCAATTGATAAGAATGCAACATAGACTTTTGGCGCCAATGATAAGAAAGAATGGAACATAGACTCGATTTGGCGCCAATGGCCAGCTTCTTGATAAGAATGGAACATAGACTCGATTTGGCGCCAATGGCCAGCTTCTTGATAAGAATGCAACATAGACTCGATTTGGCGCCAATGGCCAGCTTCTTGATAAGAATGGAACATAGACTCGATTTGGGACCAATGGCCAGCTTCTTGATAAGAATGGAACATAGACTCGATTTGGCGCCAATGGCCAGCTTCTTGATAAGAATGCAACATAGACTCGATTTGGGCCCAATAAGAATGCCATAGACTTTTGGCTTGATAAAAGAATGCAACATAGACATTTGGGGCCAATGACTCGATTTGATTTGGGACCAATGGCCAGCTTCTTGATAAGAATGGAACATAGACTCGATTTGGGGCCAATGGCCAGCTTCTTGATAAGAATGCAACATAGACTCGATTTGGCGCCAATGGCCATAGACTTTTGGCGCCAATGGCCATAAGAATGCAACATAGACTCGATTTGGCGCCAATGGCCAGCTTCTTGATAAGAATGCAAATAGACTCGATTTGGCGCCAATGGCCAGCTTCTAAGAATGCATATAGAATGCAACATAGACTCGATTTATGCAACATATGGCCAGCTTCTTGATAAGAATGCAACATAGACTCGATTTGGCGCCAATGGCCAGCTTCTTGATAAGAATGCAACATAGACTCGATTTGGCGCCAATGGCCAGCTTCTTGATAAGAATGCAACATAGACTCGATTTGGCGCCAATGGCCAGCTTCTTGATAAGAATGCAACATAGACTCGATTTGGCGCCAATGGCCAGCTTCTTGATAAGAATGCAACATAGACTCGATTTGGCGCCAATGGCCAGCTTCTTGATAAGAATGCAACATAGACTCGATTTGGCGCCAATGGCCAGCTTCTTGATAAGAATGCAACATAGACTCGATTTGGCGCCAATGGCCAGCTTCTTGATAAGAATGCAACATAGACTCGATTTGGCGCCAATGGCCAGCTTCTTGATAAGAATGCAACATAGACTCGATTTGGCGCTAATGGCCATGCCAATGGCCAGAATTCTTGATAAGAATGCAACATAGACTCGATTTGGCGCCAATGGCCAGCTTCTTGATAAGAATGCAACATAGACTCGATTTGGCGCCAATGGCCAGCTTCTTGATAAGAATGCAACATAGACTCGATTTGGCGCCAATGGCCAGCTTCTTGATAAGAATGCAACATAGACTCGATTTGGCGCCAATGGCCAGCTTCTTGATAAGAATGCAACATAGACTCGATTTGGCGCCAATGGCCAGCTTCTTTCTTGATAAGAATGCAACATAGACTCGATTTGGCCAATGGTCCTTCTTGATTTGACTCCTATGGCCAGCTTCTTGATAAGAATGCAACATAGACTCGATTTGGCGCCAATGGCCAGCTTCTTGATAAGAATGCAACATAGACTCGATTTGGCGCCCAATGGCCAGCTTCTTTGATAAGAATGCAACATAGACTCGATTTGGCGCCTATGGCCAGCTTCTTGATAAGAATGCATCATAGACTCGATTTGGCGCCAATGGCCAGCTTCTTGATAAGAATGCAACATAGACTCGATTTGGCGCCAATGGCCAGCTTCTTGATAAGAATGCAACATAGAATCGATTTGGCGCCAATGGCCAGCTTCTTGATAAGAATGCAACATAGACTCGATTTGGCGCCAATGGCCAGCTTCTTGATAAGAATGCAACATAGACTCGATTTGGCGCCAATGGCCAGCTTCTTGATAAGAATGCATACATTTAGGGAGGCCACTCGATTTGGCGCCAATGGCCAGCTTCTTGATAAGAATGCAACATAGACTCGATTTGGGGCCAATGGCCAGCTTCTTGATAAGAATGGAACATAGACTCGATTTGGCGCCAATGGCCAGCTTCTTGATAAGAATGCAACATAGACTCGATTTGGGCGCCTATGGGCGCCAATGGCCAGCTTCTGATAAGAATGCAACATAGACTCGATTTGGCGCCAATGGCCAGCTTCTTGATAAGAATGGAACATAGACTCGATTTGATAAGAATGGCCAGCTTCTTGATAAGAATGCAACATAGACTCGATTTGGCGCCAATGGCCAGCTTCTTGATAAGAATGCAACATAGACTCGATTTGGCGCCAATGGCCAGCTTCTTGATAAGAATGCAACATAGACTCGATTTGGCGCCATGGCCAGGATAAGAATGCAACATAGAATCGATTTGGGGCCAATGGCCAGCTTCTTTGATAAGAATGCAACATAGACTCGATTTGGCGCCAATGGCCAGCTTCTTGATAAGAATGCAACATAGACTCGATTTGGGACCAATGGCCAGCTTCTTGATAAGAATGCAACATAGACTCGATTTGGCGCCAATGGCCAGCTTCTTGATAAGAATGGAACATAGACTCGATTTGGCGCCAATGGCCAGCTTCTTGATAAGAATGCAACATAGACTCGATTTGGCGCCAATGGCCAGCTTCTTGATAAGAATGCAACATAGACTCGATTTGGGACCAATGGCCAGCTTCTTGATAAGAATGCAACATAGACTCGATTTGGGGCCAATGGCCAGCTTCTTGATAAGAATGCAACATAGACTCGATTTGGCGCCAATGGCCAGCTTCTTGATAAGAATGCAACATAGACTCGATTTGGCGCCTATGGCCAGCTTCTTGATTGATAAGAATGCAACATAGACTCGATTTGGGGCCAATGGCCAGCTTCTTGATAAGAATGCAACATAGACTCGATTTGGCGCCAATGGCCAGCTTCTTGATAAGAATGCAACATAGACTCGATTTGGGGCCAATGGCCAGCTTCTTGATAAGAATGCAACATAGACTCGATTTGGGACCTATGGCCAGCTTCTTGATAAGAATTTGGCGCCTATGGCCAACATAGACTCATAGATTTTGGGACCAATGGCCAGCTTCTTGATAAGAATGCAACATAGACTCGATTTGGGACCAATGGCCAGCTTCTTGATAAGAATGCAACATAGACTCGATTTGGCGCCAATGGCCAGCTTCTTGATAAGAATGCAACATAGACTCGATTTGGCGCCTAATGGCCAGCTTCTTGATAAGAATGCAACATAGACTCGATTTGGGACCAATGGCCAGCTTCTTGATAAGAATGGAACATAGACTCGATTTGGGACCAATGGCCAGCTTCTTGATAAGAATGCAACATAGACTCGATTTGGGACCATGGCCATAGACTTTTGGGGCTGGCCAGCTTCTTGATAAGAATGCAACATAGACTTGATTTGGCGCCTATGGCCAGCTTCTTGATAAGAATACAACATAGACTCGATTTGGCGCCAATGGCCAGCTTCTTGATAAGAATGCATCATAGACTCGATTTGGGGCCAATGGCCAGCTTCTTGATAAGAATGGCCCAATGGCCAGCTTCTTGAACATAAGAATGCAACATAGACTCGATTTGGCGCCAATGGCCAGCTTCTAAGAATGGAACATAGACTCGAATTTGGGACCAATGGCCAGCTTCTTGATAAGAATGGAACATAGACTCGATTTGGCGCCTATGGCCAGCTTCTTGATAAGAATGCAACATAGACTCGATTTGGCGCCAATGGCCAGCTTCTTGATAAGAATGGAACATAGACTCGATTTGGGACCAATGGCCATTTGAATGCATAGACTATTTGGCCTATGGCCAGCTTCTTGATAAGAATGCAATGGCAACATAGAATCGATTTGGCGCCCAATGGCCAGCTTCTTGATAAGAATGCAACATAGACTCGATTTGCCGCCAATGGCCAGCTTCTTGATAAGAATGCAAAATAGACTCGATTTGGGCCAATGGCCAGCTTCTTGATAAGAATGCAACATAGACTCGATTTGGGGCCAATGGCCAGCTTCTTGATAAGAATGCAACATAGACTCGATTTGGCGCCAATGGCCAGCTTCTTGATAAGAATGCAACATAGACTCGATTTGGGGCCAATGGCCAGCTTCTTGATAAGAATGCAACATAGACTCGATTTGGCGCCTATGGCCAGCTTCTTGATAAGAATGCAACATAGACTCGATTTGGCGCCAATGGCCAGCTTCTTGATAAGAATGCAACATAGACTCGATTTGGGGCCAATGGCCAGCTTCTTGATAAGAATGCAACATAGGCCACTCGATTTGGCGCCTCGATTTGGCGCCAATGGCCAGCTTCTTGATAAGAATGGAACATAGACTCGATTTGGGACCAATGGCCAGCTTCTTGATAAGAATGGAACATAGACTCGATTTGGCGCCAATGGCCAGCTTCTTGATAAGAATGCAACATAGACTCGATTTGGCGCCAATGGCCAGCTTCTTGATAAGAATGCAACATAGACTCGATTTGGCGCCTGTGGCCCATAAGAATGCAACATAGACTCGATTTGGCGCCAATATGGCCAGCTTCTTGATAAGAATGCAACATAGACTCGATTTGGGGCCAATGGCCAGCTTCTTGATAAGAATGCAACATAGACTCGATTTGGGGCCAATGGCCAGCTTCTTGATAAGAATGCAACATAGACTCGATTTGGCGCCAATGGCCAGCTTCTTGATAAGAATGCAACATAGAATCGATTTGGCGCCTATGGCCAGCTTCTTGATAAGAATGCAACATAGACTCGATTTGGCGCCTATGGCCAGCTTCTTGATAAGAATGCAAGATCGATTTGGGGCCAATGGCCAGCTTCTTGATAAGAATGCAACATAGACTCGATTTGGCGCCTATGGCCAGCTTCTTGATAAGAATGCAACATAGACTCGATTTGGCGCCAATGGCCAGCTTCTTGATAAGAATGCAACATAGACTCGATTTGGCGCCAATGGCCAGCTTCTTGATAAGAATGCAACATAGACTCGATTTGGGGCCAATGGCCAGCTTCTTGATAAGAATGCAACATAGACTCGATTTGGCGCCAATGGCCAGCTTCTTGATAAGAATGCAACATAGACTCGATTTGGGGCCAATGGCCAGCTTCTTGATAAGAATGCATCATAGACTCGATTTGCCATAAGAATGCAACTTTTGGCGCCAATGGCCAAGATAAGAATGCAACATAGACTCGATTTGGCGCCTATGGCCAGCTTCTTGATAAGAATGCAACATAGACTCGATTTGGCGCCAATGGCCAGCTTGCCATAGACTCGATTTGGCCCAATGGCCAGCTTCTTGATAAGAATGCAACATAGACTCGATTTGGCGCCTATGGCCAGCTTCTTGATAAGAATGCAACATAGACTCGATTTGGCGCCAATGGCCAGCTTCTTGATAAGAATGCAACATAGACTCGATTTGGCGCCTATGGCCAGCTTCTTGATAAGAATGCAACATAGACTCGATTTGGGGCCAATGGCCAGCTTCTTGATAAGAATGCAACATAGACTCGATTTGGCGCCTATGGCCAGCTTCTTGATAAGAATGCAACATAGACTCGATTTGGCGCCTATGGCCAGCTTCTTGATAAGAATGCAACATAGACTCGATTTGGCGCCAATGGCCAGCTTCTTGATAAGAATGCAACATAGACTCGATTTGGGGCCAATGGCCAGCTTCTTGATAAGAATGCAACATAGAATCGATTTGGCCAATGGCCAGCTTCTTGATAAGAATGCAACATAGACTCGATTTGGCGCCAATGGCCAGCTTCTTGATAAGAATGCAACATAGACTCGACTCGATTTGGGGCCTTGATAAGAATGCAACATGGATTTGGCCAGCTTCTAGACTGATTTGGCGCCAATGGCCAGCTTCTTGATAAGAATTGGACTCCTTTGGCCAATGGCCAGCTTCTTGATAAGAATGCAACATAGACTCGATTTGGCGCCTATGGCCAGCTTCTTGATAAGAATGCAACATAGACTCGATTTGGCGCCAATGGCCAGCTTCTTGATAAGAATGCAACATAGACTCGATTTGGCGCCTATGGCCTTGATAAGAATGCAACATAGACTCGATTTGGCTTGGCCAGCTTTGATAAGAATGCATCATAGACTCGATTTGGGGCCAATGGCCAGCTTCTTGATAAGAATGCAACATAGACTCGATTTGGCGCCTATGGCCAGCTTCTTGATAAGAATGCAACATAGACTCGATTTGGCGCCAATGGCCAGCTTCTTGATAAGAATGCAACATAGACTCGATTTGGCGCCAATGGCCAGCTTCTTGATAAGAATGCATCATAGACTCGATTTGGTGCCTATAAGAATGCCATAGCTTCTTGATAAGATAAGAATGCAACATAGACTCGATTTGGCGCCAATGGCCAGCCAACTTCTTGATAAGAATGCAACATAGAATCGATTTGGCGCCAATGGCCAGCTTCTTGATAAGAATGCAACATAGAATCGATTTGGCGCCAATGGCCAGCTTCTTGATAAGAATGCAACATAGAATCGATTTGGCGCCAATGGCCAGCTTCTTGATAAGAATGCAACATAGACTCGATTTGGGCCAATGGCCAGCTTCTTGATAAGAATGCATCATAGACTCGATTTGGCGCCAATGGCCAGCTTCTTGATAAGAATGCAACATAGACTCGATTTGGCGCCAATGGCCAGCTTCTTGATAAGAATGCAACATAGACTCGATTTGGCGCCTATGGCCAGCTTCTTGATAAGAATGCAACATAGACTCGATTTGGCGCCAATGGCCAGCTTCTTGATAAGAATGCATCATAGACTCGATTTGGGGCCAATGGCCAGCTTCTTGATAAGTATGCAACATAGACTCGATTTGGCGCCAATGGCCAGCTTCTTGATAAGAATGGCCAGCTTCTTGATAAGAATGCAACATAGAATCGATTTGGCGCCAATGGCCAGCTTCTTGATAAGAATGCAACATAGAATCGATTTGGCTTCTTGATAAGAATGCAACATAGACTGATTTATGCCCAGCTTGATAAGAATGCAACATAGACTTCTTGATAAGAATGCAACATAGACTCGATTTGGCGCCAATGGCCAGCTTCTTGATAAGAATGCAACATAGAATCGATTTGGCGCCAATGGCCAGCTTCTTGATAAGAATGCAACATAGACTCGATTTGGCGCCTATGGCCAGCTTCTTGATAAGAATGCAACATAGACTCGATTTGGCGCCAATGGCCAGCTTCTTGATAAGAATGCAACATAGACTCGATTTGGCGCCAATGGCCAGCTTCTTGATAAGAATGCAACATAGACTCGATTTGGCGCCAATGGCCAGCTTCTTGATAAGAATGCAACATAGACTCGATTTGGCGCCAATGGCCAGCTTCTTGATAAGAATGCAACATAGACTCGATTTGGCGCCCCCGCCAATAAGAATGCAACATAGACTCGATTTGGCGCCTTTCTTGATAAGAATGCAACATAGACTCGCCAATTTGGATAAGAATGCAACATATGGCCCTATGGCTTCTTGATAAGAATGCAACATAGACTCGATTTGGCGCCAATGGCCAGCTTCTTGATAAGAATGCAACATAGACTCGATTTGGGGCCAATGGCCAGCTTCTTGATAAGAATGCAACATAGACTCGATTTGGCGCCAATGGCCAGCTTCTTGATAAGAATGCAACATAGAATGCATCATAGACTCGATTTGGCGCCAATGGCCAGCTTCTTGATAAGAATGCAACATAGAATGCAACATCGATTTGGCGCCAATGGCCAGCTTCTTGATAAGAATGCAACATAGACTCGATTTGGTGCCTATGGCCAGCTTCTTGATAAGAATGCAACATAGAATCGATTTGGGGCCAATGGCCAGCTTCTTGATAAGAATGCAACATAGAATCGATTTGGCGCCAATGGCCAGCTTCTTGATAAGAATGCAACATAGACTCGATTTGGCGCCTATGGCCAGCTTCTTGATAAGAATGCAACATAGACTCGATTTGGTGCCAATGGCCAGCTTCTTGATAAGAATGCAACATAGACTCGATTTGGTGCCAATGGCCAGCTTCTTGATAAGAATGCAACATAGACTCGATTTGGTGCCAATGGCCAGCTTCTTGATAAGAATGCAACATAGAATCGATTTGGCGCCTATGGCCAGCTTCTTGATAAGAATGCAACATAGAATCGATTTGGCGCCTATGGCCAGCTTCTTGATAAGAATGCAACATAGACTCGATTTGGCGCCTATGGCCAGCTTCTTGATAAGAATGCAACATAGAATCGATTTGGGGCCAATGGCCAGCTTCTTGATAAGAATGCAACATAGACTCGATTTGGTGCCAATGGCCAGCTTCTTGATAAGAATGCAACATAGAATCGATTTGGCGCCTATGGCCAGCTTCTTGATAAGAATGCAACATAGAATCGATTTGGGGCCAATGGCCAGCTTCTTGATAAGAATGCAACATAGAATCGATTTGGCGCCTATGGCCATAGACTCGATTTGATAAGAATGCAACATAGACTCGATTTGGCGCCTATGGCCAGCTTCTTGATAAGAATGCAACATAGAATCGATTTGGCGCCTATGGCCAGCTTCTTGATAAGAATGCAACATAGACTCGATTTGGCGCCTATGGCCAGCTTCTTGATAAGAATGCAACATAGACTCGATTTGGCGCCAATGGCCAGCTTCTTGATAAGAATGCAACATAGACTCGATTTGGCGCCTATGGCCAGCTTCTTGATAAGAATGCAACATAGACTCGATTTGGGGCCAATGGCCAGCTTCTTGATAAGAATGCAACATAGACTCGATTTGGGGCCAATGGCCAGCTTCTTGATAAGAATGCAACATAGAATCGATTTGGCGCCTATGGCCAGCTTCTTGATAAGAATGCAACATAGACTCGATTTGGTGCCTATGGCCAGCTTCTTGATAAGAATGCAACATAGACTCGATTTGGCGCCTATGGCCAGCTTCTTGATAAGAATGCAACATAGAATCGATTTGGCGCCTATGGCCAGCTTCTTGATAAGAATGCAACATAGAATCGATTTGGCGCCTATGGCCATTTAGAATGCAACATAGACTCGATTTGCGCCTATGGCCTTCTTGATAAGAATGCAACATAGAATCGATTTGGGGCCTATGGCCAGCTTCTTGATAAGAAACATAGAATTTGGCCAGAATCGATTTGACTCGATTTGGCCCTATGGCCAGCTTCTTGATAAGAATGCAACAACATTTGGCGCCTATGACTCGAATTTAGAATCGATTTGGCCTATGGCCTTCTTGATAAGAATGCAAGAATGCAACATAGAATCGATTTGGCGCCTATGGCCAGCTTCTTGATAAGAATGCAACATAGACTCGATTTGGCGCCTAATGGCCATAGATTCTTTGGCTATACTAATAAGAATGCAACATAGACTCGATTTGGCGCCTATGGCCAGCTTCTTGATAAGAATGCAACATAGAATCGATTTGGCGCCTATGGCCAGCTTCTTGATAAGAATGCAACATAGACTCGATTTGGCGCCCTGGCCAGCTTCTTGATAAGAATGCAACATAGACTCGATTTGGTGCCAATGGCCAGCTTCTTGATAAGAATGCAACATAGAATCGATTTGGTGCCAATGGCCAGCTTCTTTGATAAGAATGCAACATAGACTCGATTTGGCGCCAATGGCCAGCTTCTTGATAAGAATGCAACATAGAATCGATTTGGGGCCAATGGCCAGCTTCTTGATAAAGAATGCAACATAGACTTTATGGGCCTATTTGATAAGAATGCCAGCTTCTTGATAAGAATGCAACATAGAATCGATTTGGTGCCTATGGCCAGCTTCTTGATAAGAATGCAACATAGAATCGATTTGGCGCCTATGGCCAGCTTCTTTGATAAGAATGCAACATAGAATCGATTTGGCGCCTATGGCCAGCTTCTTGATAAGAATGCAACATAGAATCGATTTGGCGCCAATAAGAATGCAACATAGAATCGATTTGGCGCCAATGGCCAGCTTCTGATAAGAATGCAACATAGACTCGATTTGGCGCCTATGGCCAGCTTCTTTGATAAGAATGCAACATAGACTCGATTTGGCGCCTATGGCCAGCTTCTTGATAAGAATGCAACATAGACTCGATTTGGGGCCAATGGCCAGCTTCTTGATAAGAATGCAACATAGAATCGATTTGGCGCCAATGGCCAGCTTCTTGATAAGAATGCAACATAGAATCGATTTGGCGCCTATGGCCAGCTTCTTGATAAGAATGCAACATAGAATCGATTTGGCGCCAATGGCCAGCTTCTTGATAAGAATGCAACATAGAATCGATTTGGCGCCAATGGCCAGCTTCTTGATAAGAATGCAACATAGAATCGATTTGGTGCCTATGGCCAGCTCGATTTGATAAGAATGCAACATAGAATCGATTTGGCGCCAGCTTCTTGATAAGAATGCAACATAGACTCGATTTGGTGCCAATGGCCAGCTTCTTGATAAGAATGCAACATAGAATCGATTTGGTGCCAATGGCCAGCTTCTTGATAAGAATGCAACATAGACTCGATTTGGTGCCAATGGCCAGCTTCTTGATAAGAATGCAACATAGAATCGATTTGGCGCCTATGGCCAGCTTCTTGATAAGAATGCAACATAGAATCGATTTGGCGCCTATGGCCATAGAATTCTTGATAAGAATGCAACATAGAATCGATTTGGCGCCTATGGCCAGCTTCTTGATAAGAATGCAACATAGACTCGATTTGGTGCCAATGGCCAGCTTCTTGATAAGAATGCAACATAGACTCGATTTGGCCTATGGCCTATGGCAACATAGAATCTTTGATAAGAATGCAACATATAAGAATCGATTTGGCGCCTATGGCCAGCTTCTTGATAAGAATGCAACATAGACTCGATTTGGTGCCTATGGCCAGCTTCTTGATAAGAATGCAACATAGAATCGATTTGGTGCCTGGCCAGCTTCTTGATAAGAATGCAACATAGAATCGATTTGGGGCCAATGGCCAGCTTCTTGATAAGAATGCAACATAGACTCGATTTGGCGCCTATGGCCAGCTTCTTGATAAGAATGCAACATAGAATCGATTTGGCGCCTATGGCCAGCTTCTGATAAGAATGCAACATAGAATCGATTTGGCGCCTATGGCCAGCTTCTTGATAAGAATGCAACATAGAATCGATTTGGCGCCTATGGCCAGCTTCTTGATAAGAATGCAACATAGAATCGATTTGGCGCCTATGGCCAGCTTCTTGATAAGAATGCAACATAGACTCGATTTGGCGCCTATGGCCAGCTTCTTGATAAGAATGCAACATAGAATCGATTTGGCGCCTATGGCCAGCTTCTTGATAAGAATGCAACATAGAATCGATTTGGCGCCTATGGCCTTCTTGATAAGAATGCAACATAGAATCGATTTGGCGCCTATGGCCAGCTTCTTGATAAGAATGCAACATAGAATCGATTTGGCGCCTGGCCAGCTTCTTGATAAGAATGCAACATAGACTCGATTTGGCGCCTATGGCCAGCTTCGATAAGAATGCAACATAGAATCGATTTGGCGCCTATGGCCAGCTTCTTGATAAGAATGCAACATAGAATCGATTTGGCGCCTATGGCCAGCTTCTTGATAAGAATGCAACATAGAATCGATTTGGCGCCAATGGCCAGCTTCTTTGATAAGAATGCAACATAGAATCGATTTGGCGCCTATGGCCAGCTTCTTGATAAGAATGCAAGAATCGATTTGGCGCCTATGGCCAATAAGAATGCATAGAAATCGATTTAGAATCATTTGGCGCCTATGGCCAGCTTCTTGATAAGAATGCAACATAGAATCGATTTGGCGCCAATGGCCAGCTTCTTGATAAGAATGCAACATAGAATCGATTTTGGCCAGCTTCTTGATAAGAATGCAACATAGAATCGATTTGGCGCCTATGGCCAGCTTCTTGATAAGAATGCAACATAGAATCGATTTGGAATGCCTAGAATCGATTTGGCAGCTTCTTGATAAGAATGCAACATAGAATCGATTTGGCGCCCATGGCCCAGCTTCTTGATAAGAATGCAACATAGAATCGATTTGGCGCCTATTTGGCTTCTTGATAAGAATGCAACATAGAATCGATTTGGGGCCAATGGCCAGCTTCTTGATAAGAATGCAACATAGAATCGATTTGGCGCCTATGGCCAGCTTCTTGATAAGAATGCAACATAGAATCGATTTGGCGCCTATGGCCAGCTTCTTGATAAGAATGCAACATAGAATCGATTTGGCGCCTATGGCCAGCTTCTTGATAAGAATGCAACATAGAATCGATTTGGCGCCTATGGCCAGCTTCTTGATAAGAATGCAACATAGAATCGATTTGGCGCCTATGGCCAGCTTCTTGATAAGAATGCAACATAGAATCGATTTGGCGCCTATTTTCTTGATAAGAATGCAACATAGAATCGATTTGGCGCCTATGGCCAGCTTCTTGATAAGAATGCAACATAGAATCGATTTGGCGCCTATAAGATAAGAATGCAACATAGAATCGATTTGGCGCCTATGGCCAGCTTCTTGATAAGAATGCAACATAGAATCGATTTGGCGCCTATGGCCAGCTTCTTGATAAGAATGCAACATAGAATCGATTTGGCGCCTATGGCCAGCTTCTTGATAAGAATGCAACATAGAATCGATTTGGCGCCTATGGCCATAAGATAAGAATGCAACATAGAATCGATTTGGCGCCTATGGCCAGCTTCTTGATAAGAATGCAACATAGAATCGATTTGGCGCCTATGGCCAGCTTCTTGATAAGAATGCAACATAGAATCGATTTGGTGCCTATGGCCAGCTTCTTGATAAGAATGCAAATATAGAATCGATTTGGTGCCTATGGCCAGCTTCTTGATAAGAATGCAACATAGAATCGATTTGGCGCCTATGGCCAACTCTTGATAAGAATGCAACATAGAATCGATTTGGCGCCTATGGCCAGCTTCTTGATAAGAATGCAACATAGAATCGATTTGGCGCCTATGGCCAGCTTCTTGATAAGAATGCAACATAGAATCGATTTGGCCTATGGCCAGCTTCTTGATAAGAATGCAACATAGAATCGATTTGATAAGAAATCGATTGCAACATAGAATCGATTTGGCGCCTATGGCCAGCTTCTTATAAGAATGCAACATAGAATCGATTTGGCGCCTATGGCCAGCTTCTTGATAAGAATGCAACATAGAATCGATTTGGCGCCTATGGCCAGCTTCTTGATAAGAATGCAACATAGAATCGATTTGGCGCCTATGGCCAGCTTCTTGATAAGAATGCAACATAGAATCGATTTGGCGCCTATGATAAGAATGCAGCTTCTTGATAAGAATGCAACATAGAATCGATTTGGCGCCTATGGCCAGCTTCTTGATAAGAATGCAACATAGAATCGATTTGGCGCCTTTGGCCAGCTTGATAAGAATGCAACATAGAATCGATTTGGCGCCTGGGCCAGCTTCTTGATAAGAATGCAACATAGAATCGATTTGGCGCCTATGGCCAGCTTCTTGATAAGAATGCAACATAGAATCGATTTGGCGCCTATGGCCAGCTTCTTGATAAGAATGCAACATAGAATCGATTTGGCGCCTATGGCCAGCTTCTTGATAAGAATGCAACATAGAATCGATTTGGGCCTATAAGAATGCAACATAGAATCGATTTGGCGCCAATGGCCAGCTGATAAGAATGCAACATAGAATCGATTTGGCGCCTATTTTCTTGATAAGAATGCAACATAGAATCGATTTGGCGCCTATGGCCAGCTTCTTGATAAGAATGCAACATAGAATCGATTTGGCGCCTATGGCCAGCTTCTTGATAAGAATGCAAACGATTTGGCGCCTAGAATTCGATTTAGAATCCTTTGGGGCCTATGGCCAGCTTCTTGATAAGAATGCAACATAGAATCGATTTGGCGCCTATGGCCAGCTTCTTGATAAGAATGCAACATAGAATCGATTTGGCGCCTATGGCCAGCTTCTTGATAAGAATGCAACATAGAATCGATTTGGCGCCTTGGCCAGCTTCTTGATAAGAATGCAACATAGAATCGATTTGGCGCCTATGGCCAGCTTCTTGATAAGAATGCAACATAGAATCGATTTGGCGCCTATGGCCAGCTTCTTGATAAGAATGCAACATAGAATCGATTTGGCGCCTATGGCCAGCTTCGATAAGAAACATAGAATGCAACATTCTTGATAAGAAACATAGAATCGATTTGGCGCCTATGGCCAGCTTCTTGATAAGAATGCAACATAGAATCGATTTGGCGCCTATGGCCAGCTTCTTGATAAGAATGCAACATAGAATCGATTTGGCGCCTATGGCCAGCTTCTTGATAAGAATGCAACATAGAATCGATTTGGCGCCAATGGCCAGCTTCTTGATAAGAATGCAACATAGAATCGATTTGGCGCCTATGCCAGCTTCTTGATAAGAATGCAACATAGAATCGATTTGGCGCCTATGGCCAGCTTCTTGATAAGAATGCAACATAGAATCGATTTATGCCAATGGCTATGGCAGCTTCTTGATAAGAATGCAACATAGAATCGATTTGCCCAGCTTCTTGATAAGAATGCAACATAGAATCGATTTGGCGCCTATGGCCAGCTTCTTTGATAAGAATGCAACATAGAATCGATTTGGCGCCTATGGCCAGCTTCTTGATAAGAATGCAACATAGAATCGATTTGGTGCCTATGGCCAGCTTCTTGATAAGAATGCAACATAGAATCGATTTGGCGCCTATGGCCAGCTTCTTGATAAGAATGCAACATAGAATCGATTTGGCGCCTATGGCCAGCTTCTTGATAAGAATGCAACAAGAATCGATTTGGCGCCCAGAATCGATTTGGATTTGGCGCCTTTGATAAGAATGGAACATAGAATCGATTTGGCGCCTATGGCCATTTTGAAAGAATGCAAATATAGAATCGATTTGGCGCCTATGGCCAGCTTTTTGATAAGAATGCAACATAGAATCGATTTGGCGCCTATGGCCAGCTTTTTTGATAAAATGCAACATAGAATCGATTTGGCGCCTATGGCCAGCTTCTTTGATAAGAATGCAACATAGAATCGATTTGGCGCCTATGGCCAGCTTCTTGATAAGAATGCAACATAGAATCGATTTGGCGCCTATGGCCAGCTTCTTGATAAGAATGCAACATAGAATCGATTTGGCGCCTATGGCCAGCTTCTTGATAAGAATGCAACATAGAATCGATTTGGCGCCTATGGCCAGCTTCTTGATAAGAATGCAACATAGAATCGATTTGGCGCCTATGGCCAGCTTCTTGATAAGAATGCAACATAGAATCGATTTGGCGCCTATGGCCAGCCTGATAAGAATGCAACATATAGAATCGATTTGGCGCCTATGGCCATTCTTGATAAGAATGCAACATAGAATCGATTTGGCGCCTATGGCCAGCTCTTGATAAGAATGCAACATAGACTCGATTTGGCGCCTATGGCCAGCTTCTGATAAGAATGCAACATAGAATCGATTTGGCGCCAATGGCCAGCTTCTGATAAGAATGCAACATAGAATCGATTTGGCGCCTATGGCCAGCTTCTTGATAAGAATGCAAATATAGAATCGATTTGGCGCCTATGGCCAGCTTCTTGATAATGCAACATAGAATCGATTTGGGGCCATGGCCAGCTTCTTGATAAGAATGCAACATAGAATCGATTTGGCGCCTATGGCCAGCTTCTTGATAAGAATGCAACATAGAATCGATTTGGCGCCTATGGCCAGCTTCTTGATAAGAATGCAACATAGACTCGATTTGGCGCCTATGGCCAGCTTCTTGATAAGAATGCAACATTTGGCGCCTATGGCCAGCTTCTTGATAAGAATGCAACATAGAATCGATTTGGCGCTTCTTGATAAGAATGCAACATAGAATCGATTTGATAAGAATTTGGCGCCTATGGCCAGCTTCTTGAAAGAATGCAACATAGAATCGATTTGGCGCCTATGGAATGCCATAGAATCGATTTGGCTTCTTTTTGATAAGAATGCAACATAGAATCGATTTGGCGCCTATGGCCAGCTTCTTGATAAGAATGCAACATAGAATCGATTTGGCGCCTATGGCCAGCTTCTTGATAAGAATGCAACATAGAATCGATTTGGCGCCTATGGCCAGCTTCTTGATAAGAATGCAACATAGAATCGATTTGGCGCCTATGGCCAGCTTCTTGATAAGAATGCAACATAGAATCGATTTGGCGCCTATGGCCAGCTTCTTGATAAGAATGCAACATAGAATCGATTTGGCGCCTATGGCCAGCTTCTTGATAAGAATGCAACATAGAATCGATTTGGCGCCTATGGCCAGCTCTTGATAAGAATGCAACATAGAATCGATTTGGCGCCTATGGCCAGATTCTTGATAAGAATGCAACATAGAATCGATTTGGCGCCGGCCAGGCTTCTTGATAAGAATGCAACATAGAATCGATTTGGCGCCTATGGCCAGCTTCTTGATAAGAATGCAACATAGAATCGATTTGGCGCCTATGGCCAGCTTCTTGATAAGAATGCAACATAGAATCGATTTGGCGCCTATGGCCAGCTTCTTGATAAGAATGCAACATAGAATCGATTTGGCGCCTATGGCCAGCTTCTTGATAAGAATGCAACATAGAATCGATTTGGCGCCAATGGCAACATAGAATCGATTTGATAAGAATGAATCGATTTACATGGAATCTTGATAAGAATGCAACATAGAATCGATTTATGCCTATGGCCAGCTTCTTGATAAGAATGCAACATAGAATCGATTTGGCGCCTATGGCCAGCTTCTTGATAAGAATGCAACATAGAATCGATTTGATAAGATAAAATGCAACATAGAATCGATTTGGCGCCTATGGCCAGCTTCTTGATAAGAATGCAACATAGAATCGATTTGGCGCCTATGGCCAGCTTCTTGATAAGAATGCAACATAGAATCGATTTGGCGCCTATGGCCAGCTTCTTGATAAGAATGCAACATAGAATCGATTTGGCGCCTATGGCCAGCTTCTTTGATAAGAAATGCAACATAGAATCGATTTGGCGCCTATGGCCAGCTTCTTGATAAGAATGCAACATAGAATCGATTTGGCGCCTATGGCCAGCTTAAGAATGCAACATAGAATCGATTTATGCCTATGGCCAGCTTCTTGATAAGAATGCAACATAGAATCGATTTGGCGCCTATGGCCAGCTTCTTGATAAGAATGCAACATAGAATCGATTTGGGGCCTATGGCCAGCTTCTTGATAAGAATGCAACATAGAATCGATTTGGCGCCTATGGCCAGCTTTGATAAGAATGCAACATAGAATCGATTTGGCGCCTATGGCCAGCTTTTGATAAGAATGCAACATAGAATCGATTTGGCGCCTTGGCCAGCTTCTGATAAGAATGCAACATAGAATCGATTTGATATGGCCAGCTTCTTGATAAGAATGCAACATAGAATCGATTTGGCGCCTATGGCCAGCTTCTTTGATAAGAATGCAACATAGAATCGCCTATTTTCTTGATAAGAATGCAACATAGAATCGATTTGGCGCCTGGCCAGCTTCTTGATAAGAATGCAACATAGAATCGATTTGGCGCCTATGGCCAGCTTCTTGATAAGAATGCAACATAGAATCGATTTGGCGCCTATGGCCAGCTTCTTGATAAGAATGCAACATAGAATCGATTTGGCGCCTATGGCCAGCTTCTTGATAAGAATGCAACATAGAATCGATTTGGCGCCTATGGCCAGCTTCTTGATAAGAATGCAACATAGAATCGATTTGAATAACATAGAATCGCCAATGGCCAGCTTCTTGATAAGAATGCAACATAGAATCGATTTGGCGCCTGCGGCCAGCTTCTTGATAAGAATGCAACATAGAATCGATTTCCATGCCAATGGCCAGCTTCTTGATAAGAATGCAACATAGAATCGATTTGGCGCCTATGGCCAGCTTCTTTTGATAAGAATGCAACATAGAATCGATTTGGCGCCTATGGCCAGCTTTTTGATAAGAATGCAACATAGAATCGATTTGGCGCTTATGGCCAGCTTTGATAAGAATGCAACATAGAATCGATTTGCCTATGGCGATAAGAATGCAACATAGAATCGATTTGGCGCCTATGGCCAGCTTCTTGATAAGAATGCAAACATAGAATGATTTGGGGCCTATGGCCAGCTTTTTGATAAGAATGCAAATATAGAATCGATTTGGCGCCTATGGCCAGCTTTTGATAAGAATGCAACATAGAATCGATTTGGCGCCTATGGCCAGCTTCGATAAGAATGCAACATAGAACGATTTGGCGCCTGGTGGCCAGCTTGATAAGAATGCAACATAGAATCGATTTGGCGCCTATGGCCAGCTTCTTTGATAAGAATGCAACATAGAATCGATTTATGCCATGGCCAGCTTGATAAGAATGCAACATAGAATCGATTTATGCCATGGCCAGCTTTTTTGATAAGAATGCAACATAGAATCGATTTGATAAGAACAGCTTCTTGGATAAGAATGGAACCAGACTTGATAATAAGAATGCAACATAGAATCGATTTGGCGCCCATACGCTTCGATAAGAATGCAACATAGAATCGATTTGGCGCTCATGGTCAGCTTGATAAGAATGCAAATAGAATCGATTTGGCGCCTATGGCCAGCTTCTTGATAAGAATGCAACATAGAATCGATTTGGCGCCTAAGGCCAGCTTCTTGATAAGAATGCAACATAGAATCGATTTGGTGCCTATGGGCCAGCTTCTTGATAAGAATGCAACATAGAATCGATTTGGCGCCTATGGCCAGCTTTTGATAAGAATGCAAATCGATTTGGCGCCTCGGCCATTTTGATAAGAATGCAAACATAGAATCGATTTGGCGCCTATGGCCAGCTTTTGATAAGAATGCAACATAGACTCGATTTGGCGCCTATGGCCAGCTTCTTTGATAAGAATGCAACATAGAATCGATTTGGCGCCTATGGCCAGCTTGATAAGAATGCAACATAGAATCGATTTATGCCTATGGCCAGCTTCTTGATAAGAATGCAACATAGAATCGATTTGGCGCCTATGGCCAGCTTCTTGATAAGAATGCAACATAGAATCGGATTTGGCGCCAATGGCCAGCTTCTTTGATAAGAATGCAACATAGAATCGATTTGGCGCCTATGGCCAGCTTCTTGATAAGAATGCAACATAGAATCGATTTGGCGCCTATGGATAAGAATGCAACATAGAATCGATTTGGGGCCAATGGCCAGCTTCGATAAGAATGCAACATAGACTGATTTGGCGCCTATGGCCAGCTTCTTGATAAGAATGCAACATAGACCTGATTTATGTCTATGGCCAGCTTCTTGATAAGAATGCAACAGACAGAATCGATTTGGCGCTCTATGGCCAGCTTCTGATAAGAATGCAAATATAGAATCGACGGTAGTCAATGGCCAGCTTCTTGATAAGAATGCAACATAGACTGATTTAAGCTCATGGCCAGCTTCTGATAAGAATGCAACATAGAATCGATTTGGCGCCTATAAGTGGCCAGCTTCTTACAAGAATTTAACAGAATCGATTTACGCCCATGGCCAGCTTTGATAAGAATGCAACATAGAATCGATTTGGGGCCAATGGCCAGCTTCATAAGAATGCAAAGAGACTCGATTTGGCGCCATGGCCAGCTTCTTGATAAGAATGCAACATAGACTGATTTGGCGCCTGGGTATTAGCCTTGATAATGCACATAGAATCGATTTGCCTATGGCCAGCTTCTTGATAAGAATGGAACATAGAATCGATTTGGCGCTCTGCACAGCTTCTTGATAAGAATGCAAACATAGAATCGATTTGGCGCTCATGGCCAGCTTCTTGATAAGAATGCACATAGAATCGACTTTGGCGCCTGCGGCCAGCTTCTTGATAAAAGAATGCAACATAGAATCGATTTGGCGCCGGTGCCAGCTTTGATAAGAATGCAACATAGAATCGATTTGGCGCCTATGGCCAGTTTCTTGATAAGAATGCAAAGATAGAATTGACGGCGCTTGCACAGCTTTGACAGAATGCAACATAGAATCGATTTGCTTCTTTTGATAAGAATGTGCAAACATAGAATCGATTTAAGCTCTGCACAGCTTCTTTGATAAGAATGCAAATATAGACTCGATTTGCGCCTATGGCCAGCTTGACAAGAATGCAAACATAGACTAATCAAGTTTGTAGCCAGCTTCTTGATAAGAATGCAACATAGAATCGATATGTCATGGGCCGCTTCGACAAGAATGCAAACATAGAATCGATTTGTTTATGGCCAGCTTCTTGATAAGAATGCAACATAGAATCGATTTGGCGCCTGGCACAGCTTCTTGATAAGAATGTGCAACATAGAATCGACGGCGCTGCGGTAACAGCTTCTTGATAAGAAATGCAATATAGAATCGATTTCGTTGCGGCCAGCTTTGATAGAACAATATAGAATTGATTTAAGTTTGCGGCCAGCGCTTCGATAAGAATGCAACATAGACTGATTTGGGGCCTATGGCCATAAGAATGCAACATAGACTCGATTTGGAATGCAACATAGATGGCCAGGCCTTCTTGATAAGAATGCAACATAGACTCGATTTGGCGCCTATGGCCAGCTTCTTGATAAGAATGCAACATAGAATCGATTTGGCGCCTATGGCCAGCTTCTTGATAAGAATGCAACATAGAATCGATTTGGCGCCTAATGGCCGATTTTCTTGATAAGAATGCAACATAGAATCGATTTGGCGCCTATGGCCAGCTTCTTGATAAGAATGCAACATAGACTCGATTTGGCGCCTATGGCCAGCTTCTTGATAAATGAACATGCAACATATAAGAATCGATTTTGGCGCCTATGGCCAGCTTCTTGATAAGAATGCAACATAGAATCGATTTGGCGCCTATATAAGAATGCAACATAGACTCGATTTGGCGCCTATGGCCAGCTTCTTGATAAGAATGCAACATAGACTCGATTTGGCGCCTATGGCCAGCTTCTTGATAAGAATGCAACATAGACTCGATTTGGCGCCTATGGCCAGCTTCTTGATAAGAATGCAACATAGAATCGATTTGGCGCCTATGGCCAGCTTCTTGATAAGAATGCAACATAGACTCGATTTGGCGCCTATGGCCAGCTTCTTGATAAGAATGCAACATAGACTCGATTTGGCGCCTATGGCCAGCTTCTTGATAAGAATGCAACATAGACTCGATTTGGCGCCTATGGCCAGCTTCTTGATAAGAATGCATCATAGACTCGATTTGGGGCCTATGGCCAGCTTCTTGATAAGAATGCAACATAGACTCGATTTGGCGCCTATGGCCAGCTTCTTGATAAGAATGCAACATAGACTCGATTTGGCGCCTATATTAGCTTCTTGATAAGAATGCAACATAGAATCGATTTCTATGGCTTGATAAGAATGCAACATAGACTCGATTTGGCGCCTATGGCCAGCTTCTTGATAAGAATGCAACATAGACTCGATTTGGCGCCTAACATAGAATCGATTTGGCGCCTATGGCCAGCTTCTTGATAAGAATGCAACATAGATAGATTTGGCGCCTATGGCCATTTTGATAAGAATGCAACATAGAATCGATTTGGCGCCTTCTTCTTGATAAGAATGCAACATAGACTCGATTTGGCGCCTATGGCCAGCCTCTTGATAAGAATGCAACATAGAATCGATTTGGCGCCTATGGCCAGCTTCTTGATAAGAATGCAACATAGAATCGATTTGGCGCCTATGGCCAAACTTCTTGATAAGAATGCAACATAGACTCGATTTGGCGCCTATGGCCAGCTTCTTGATAAGAATGCAACATAGACTCGATTTGGCGCCTATGGCCAGCTTCTTGATAAGAATGCAACATAGACTCGATTTGGCGCCTATGGCCAGCTTCTTGATAAGAATGCAACATAGAATCGATTTGGCGCCTATGGCCAGCTTCTTGATAAGAATGCAACATAGAATCGATTTGGCGCCTATGGCCAGCTTCTTGATAAGAATGCAACATAGAATCGATTTGGCGCCTATGGCCAGCTTCTTGATAAGAATGCAACATAGAATCGATTTGGCGCCTTGATAAGAAAGCAACATAGAATCGATTTGGCGCCTATGGCCAGCTTCTTGATAAGAATGCAACATAGAATCGATTTGGCGCCTATGGCCATTCTTGATAAGAATGCAACATAGAATCGATTTGGCGCCTATGGCCAGCTTCTTGATAAGAATGCAACATAGAATCGATTTGGGGCCAATGGCCAGCTTCTTGATAAGAATGCAACATAGAATCGATTTGGCGCCTATGGCCAGCTTCTTGATAAGAATGCAACATAGAATCGATTTGGCGCCTATGGCCAGCTTCTTGATAAGAATGCAACATAGAATCGATTTGGCGCCATTTAGACTCGATTTGGCCAGCTTCTTGATAAGAATGCAACATAGAATGCTCGATTCGATTTGGCGCCTATGGCCAGCTTCTTGATAAGAATGCAACATAGACTCGATTTGGCGCCTATGGCCAGCTTCTTGATAAGAATGCAACATAGAATCGATTTGGCGCCTATGGCCAGCTTCTTGATAAGAATGCAACATAGAATCGATTTGGCGCCTATGGCCAGACTCGATTTGGCGCCGATTTGGCCAGCTTCTTGATAAGAATGCAACATAGACTCGATTTGGCGCCTATGGCCAGCTTCTTGATAAGAATGCAACATAGAATCGATTTGGCGCCTATGGAATGCAACATAGACTCGATTTGGCTTTCTTGATAAGAATGCAACATAGAATCGATTTGGCGCCTATGGCCAGCTTCTTGATAAGAATGCAACATAGACTCGATTTGGCGCCTATGGCCAGCTTCTTGATAAGAATGCAACATAGACTCGATTTGGCGCCTATGGCCAGCTTCTTGATAAGAATGCAACATAGAATCGATTTGGCCAATGGCCAGCTTCTTGATAAGAATGCAACATAGTCTCGATTTGGCGCCTATGGCCAGCTTCTTGATAAGAATGCAACATAGACTCGATTTGGCGCCTATGGCCAGCTTCTTGATAAGAATGCATCATAGACTCGATTTGGCGCCTATGGCCAGCTTCTTGATAAGAATGCAACATAGACTCGATTTGGCGCCTATGGCCAGCTTCTTGATAAGAATGCAACATAGACTCGATTTGGCGCCTATGGCCAGCTTCTTGATAAGAATGCAACATAGAATCGATTTGGAATCAGATTCTTGATAAGAATGCAACATAGAATCGATTTGGCGCCTATAATAGCCTTGATGGCCAGCTTCTTGATAAGAATGCAACATAGACTCGATTTGGCGCCAATGGCCAGCTTCTTGATAAGAATGCAACATAGACTCGATTTGGCGCCTATGGCCAGCTTCTTGATAAGAATGCAACATAGAATCGATTTGGCGCCTATGGCCAGCTTCTTGATAAGAATGCAACATAGAATCGATTTGGCGCCTATCGCCATTTGATAAGAAATGCAACAGAATCGATTTACTGTATGCTTTTGATAAGAATGCACATAGAATCGATTTGGGGCCAGCTGGCCAGCTTGATAAGAACAAATATAGACTGATTTGGCGTATTGCGGCTAGCTTTTGATAAGAATGCAATATAGAATCTCGATTTGGCGCCATGGCCAGCTTTCTTTGATAAGAATGCAAATATAGAATTTGATTTGGGGGCCAATGGCCATTTTCTTTGAATGAAACATAGACTCGATTTGAAGGCCCAGTACAGCTTCTTGACAAGAATGCAAATATAGAATCGATTTGGCGCCTATGCACAGCTTCTTGATAAAGAATGCAATATAGAATCGATTTGGCGCCTATGGCCAGCTTTTGATAAGAAATAATATAGAATCGATTTATGCCAATGGCCAGCTTCGACAAGAATGCAATATAGACTGATTTGGCGCCTGTAATAGCTTCGATAAGAATGCAACATAACTGGATTTGGCGCCCATGGCCACGCTTGATAAGAAGAATCATTGAATCGATTTGGCGCCTATGGCCAGCTTCTTGATAAGAATGCAACATAGACTCGATTTGGGGCCTATGGCCAGCTTCTTGATAAGAATGCAACATAGAATCGATTTGGCGCCTATGGCAACATAGACTCGATTTGCTTCTTGATAAGAAAGAATGCAACATAGAATCGATTTGGCGCCTATGGCCAGCTTCTTGATAAGAATGCAACATAGAATCGATTTGGCGCCTATGGCCAGCTTCTTGATAAGAATGCAACATAGAATCGATTTGGCGCCTATGGCCAGCTTCTTGATAAGAATGCAACATAGAATCGATTTGGCGCCCAATGGCCAGCTTCTTGATAAGAATGCAACATAGAATCGATTTGGCGCCTATGGCCAGCTTCTTGATAAGAATGCAACATAGACTCGATTTGGCGCCTATGGCCAGCTTCTTGATAAGAATGCAACATAGAATCGATTTGGCGCCTATGGCCAGCTTCTTGATAAGAATGCAACATAGAATCGATTTGGCGCCTATGGCCAGCTTTTAAGAATGCAACATAGAATCGATTTGGCGCCTATGGCCAGCTTCTTGATAAGAATGCAACATAGAATCGATTTGGCGCCTATGGCCAGCTTCTTGATAAGAATGCAACATAGAATCGATTTGGCGCCTATGGCCAGCTTCTTGATAAGAATGCAACATAGAATCGATTTGGCGCCTATGGCCAGCTTCTTGATAAGAATGCAACATAGTCTCGATTTGGCGCCTATGGCCAGCTTCTCGATAAAGAATGCAATATAGACTCTGACGGCGCCTATGGCCAGCTCCTTTGATGTTATGCATCATAAATTCGATTTGGCGCTTCATGGCTGCTTCTGATAAGTACCGCATCATAGACTTCCGATTTAGCCTGCGCCAGCTTCTTGATAAGAATGCAACATAGACTCGATTTGGCGCCTATGGCCAGCTTGATAAGAATGCATCATAGACTCGATTTGGTGCCTATGGCCCAACTTGATAAAGAATGCAACATAGAATCGATTTGGCGCCTATGGCCAGCTTCTGATAAGAATGCAACATAGAATCGATTTGGCGCCTTGGCCAGCTTCTTGATAAGAATGCAACATAGAATCGATTTGGCGCCTATGGCCAGCTTCTTGATAAGAATGCAACATAGAATCGATTTGGCGCCAATGGCCAGCTTCTTGATAAGAATGCAACATAGAATCGATTTGGCGCCTATGGCCAGCTTCTTGATAAGAATGCAACATAGAATCGATTTGGCGCCTATGGCCAGCTTCTTGATAAGAATGCAACATAGAATCGATTTGGCGCCTGGCCCAGCTTCTTGATAAGAATGCAACATAGAATCGATTTGGCGCCAATGGCCTTCTTGATAAGAATGCAACATAGAATCGATTTGGCGCCTATGGCCAGCTTCTTGATAAGAATGCAAACATAGAATCGATTTGGGGCCAATGGCCAATAAGAATGCAACATAGAATCGATTTGGCGCCTATGGCCAGCTTCTTGATAAGAATGCAACATAATTTTACGGCGCCTATGGCCAGCTTCTTGATAAGAACGCATCATAGACTGATTTGGGGCCTATGGCCAGCTTCTGATAAGAATGCAACATAGAATCGATTTGGGCCCCTTCATAAGAATGCCAGCTTTTGGCGCTTGGCCATATAAGAATGCAACATAGAATGATTTGGGGCCAATGGCCAGCTTGATAAGAATGCAACATAGAATCGATTTGCCTATGTACCTTGATAAGAATGCAACATGTAACTTTTGAAGCTGATAAGAATGCATAGATAGACTGACGGCGCCCAGGTCAGCTTCTTGATAAGAATGCAACAGAATCGATTTATGCCTATGGCCAGCTTGATAAGAATGCATCATAGAATCGATTTAAACAATAAATAGCTTCTGATAAGAATGCAACATAGAATCGATTTGGCGCCTATGGCCAGCTTCTTTGATAAGAATGCAACATAGAATCGACGGCGTTTTGCACAGCTTCTGATAAGAATGCAAATATAACGATTTGCGCCTATGGCCAGCTTCTGATAAGAATGCAAATATAGACTGATTTTACTCATGCCTTGATAATATAGACTCGATTTGCTGGATAAGAATGCATCATAGAATCGATTTGGGCCAATGGCCAGCTTTGATAAGAATGCAACATAGAATCGATTTGCGCCTAGGCCAGCTTCTTGATAAGAATGCAACATAGAATCGATTTGGTTTGCGGCCAGCTTCTTGATAAGAATGCAACATAGAATCGATTTGGCGCCTATGGCCAGCTTCTTGATAAGAATGCAACATAGAATCGATTTGGCGCCTATGGCCAGCTTCTTTGATAAGAATGCACATAGAATCGATTTGGCGCCATGGCCAGCTTCTTGATAAGAATGCAACATAGAATCGATTTGGCGCCTATGGCCAGCTTCTGATAAGAATGCAAACATAGAATCGATTGGCGCCTGCGGCCATTTGATAAGAATGCAACCCTAAATCGATTTGCCTATGGCCAGCTTCTTGATAAGAATGCAACATAGAATCGATTTGGACCCTGGCCACTTCTTGATAAGAATGCAAATATAGAATCGATTTGGCGCCTATGGGCCAGCTTCTGATAAGAATGCAACATAGAATCGATTTGGCGCCTATTAAGAATGCAATATAATCGATTTGGCGCCTATACGCTTTCTGATAAGAATGCAACATACCGATTTAAGATTTGGGGCGACGGTTTATGGCCAGCTTCTGATAAGAACAAAACATAATGCAACATAAGAATGCAACATAGACGATTTAGGTCGCCTGATGAATGCCATAGCTTCTTCATAATAGATAAGAATGCAACATAGAATCGATTTGGCGCTACTGGCCAGCTTCTGATAAGAATGCAACATAGAATCGATTTGGCCTATGGCCAGCTTTTGATAAGAATGCAACATGGAATCGATTTGGGATATGGCCAGCTTCTTGATAAGAATGCAACATAGAATCGATTTACGCCTTATATTAGCTTCTTGATAAGAATGCAACACAGAATCGATTTGAATGGCGTAATAGATAAGAATGCAACATAGAATCGATTTGGCGCCTATGGCCAACTTTTTGATAAATGCAACATAGAATCGATTTGGGGCCAATTTTTGATAAGAATGCAACAGAATCGATTTGGCATATGGCCAGCTTCTTGATAAGAATGCAACATAGAATCGATTTAGCGCTCTATGGCCAACTTCTTGATAAGAATGCAAATATAGAATCGATTTGGGAGCGCCTATGGCCAGCTTCTTGATAAGAATGCAACATAGAATCGATTTGGCGCCAATGGCCAGCTTCTTGATAAGAATGCAACATAGAATCGATTTGGCGCCTATGGCCAGCTTCTTGATAAGAATGCAACATAGAATCGATTTGGCGCCTATGATTTATGCCAGCTTCTTTGATAAGAAATGCAACATAAGAATCGATTTGGCGCCAATGGCCAGTTTGATAAGAAATGCAACATGAATGGATTAAAAGCTTGGTGCACAGCTCCTTGACAAGAAACGCAACATAGAATCAGATTTGGCGCCAATGGCCAGCTTCTTTGATAAGAATATAATATAGAATCGATTTGATAAGAATGCAACAATGGCCAGCTTCTTGATAAGAATGCAACATAGATTCCGATTTAAATAATGGCAATTCTTGATAAGAATGCAACATAGAATCGACGGCGCCCATGGCCAGCTTCTTTGACAAAAATGCAACATAGAATGATTTTATGCCTATGGCCAGCTTCTGACAAGAATGCAAGACTTCCCCGATTTGGTGCCTATTTTTGATAAGAATGCAACATAGACTGATTTGCCCTCGGGCTTCTTGATAAGAATGCAACATAGAATCGATTTTGGCGCCTATGGCCAGCTTCTGATAAGAATGCAACATAGAATGATTTGGCCTAAGGCGGCCAGCTTTTGATAAGAATGCAACATAGAATCGATTTGGCGCCTATGGCCAGCTTTTGATAAGAATGCAACATGGAACCGATTTGGCGCCTATAAGAATGCAACATAGAATCTTGATAAAGAAAGAATGCAACATAGAATCGATTTGGCGCCTATGGCCAGCTTTTGATAAGAATGCAACATAGAATCGACGGCGCCTTTGATAAGAATGAGAACGACAGCTTTTTGATAAGAATGCAACATAGAATCGATTTGGCGCCTATACCCGCTTCTTGATAAGAATGCAACATAGAATCTGATTTTATGCCTATGGCCAGCTTCTGATAAGAATGCAACATAGAATCGATTTGGCGCCTATGGTCAGCTTCTGATAAGAATGCAAAGAATGATTTACAATGGCCAGCTTTTTGACGAATTAGACCTGATTTATGCCCTATGGCCAGCTTTTTAAGAATGCAAGAATGCAACATAAGAATGCGATTTGATTTGGCGCCTATGGCCAGCTTCTTGATAAGAATGCAATATGACTCGATTTGGCGCCTATGGCCAGCTTCTTGATAAGAATGCAACATAGAATCGGATTTAGCGCCTATAAGAATGCAACATAGAATTGATTTCTTGGCCATTTGATAAGAATGCAACATAGAATCGATTTGGGGCCATGGCCAGCTCTTGATCAGAATGCAACATAGAATCGTTGTTGGCCAGCCTATGGGGCACGCAACATAGAACTTTTTTGATAAGAATGCAACATAGAATCGATTTGGGGCCAATGGCCATAAGAATGAGAATCATTTATGCCGCTTGCACAGCTTCTTTGATAGAATGCAACATAGACCGATTTGGCGCCTATGGCCAGCTTGATAAAGAACACAACACCGAATCGACGGGTGTAGCCCAGCTTTTGATAAGAATGCAACATAGAATCGATTTGGGGCCAATGGCCAGCTTTTTGATAAGAATGCAACATAGAATCGATTTATGCGCCTATGGCCAACTTGATAAAGAATGCAACATAGAATCGACGGCTATACGCTTTGGAATGCCTATAATGGCCAGTTTGATAAGAATGCAACATAGAATCGATTTGGCGCCTATGGCCAGCTTCTTGATAAGAATGCAACATAGAATGATTTGGGGCCAACGGCCAGCTTCTTGATAAGAATGCAACATAGAATCGATTTGGCGCCTATGGCCAGCTTCTTGATAAGAATGCAACATAGACTCGATTTGTCGCCAATGGCCAGCTTCTTGATAAGAATGCAACATAGAATCGATTTGGCGCCAATGGCCAGCTTCTGATAAGAATGCAACATAGAATCGATTTGGCGCCTATGGCCAGCTTTTTGATAAGAATGCATCATAGATCGACGGCGCCCATGCCCAGCTTTTGATAAGAATGCATCATAGAATCGATTAAGTTGCCCATTGCCAGCTTCTTGATAAGAATGCAACATAGAATCGATTTGGCCACGGACAGCTTTGATAAGAATGCAACATAGAATCGATTTGGCGCCTATGGCCAGCTTTTGATAAGAATGCAACATAGACTGATTTGGCGCCTAATAGCTTCTTGATAAGAATGCAACATAGAATCGATTTGGCGCCTATGGCCAGCTTTTGATAAGAATGCAACATAATCGATTTGGGGCCAATGGCCAGCTTTTGATAAGAATGCAACATAGACCTGATTGGCGCCAATTTCGATAAGAATGCAACATAGAATCGATTTGGCCTCATGGAATGCCATAGACTTCTTGATAAGAATGCAACATAGACTGATTTGGGGCCAATGGCCAGCTTCGATAAGAATGCAACATAGAATCGATTTGACGCCTATGGCCAGCTTCTTGATAAGAATGCAACATAGACTCGATTTGGGCCCATGGCCAGCTTCTGATAAGAATGCAACATAGACTCGATTTGGCGCCTATGGCCAATGGCCAGCTTCTTGATAAGAATGCAACATAGAATCGATTTGGCGCCTATGGCCAGCTTCTTGATAAGAATGCAACATAGAATCGATTTGGCGCCAATGGCCAGGTTTTTGATAAGAATGCAACATAGAATCGATTTGGCGCCAATGGCCAGCTTCTGATAAGAATGCATCATAGAATCGATTTGGGGCCAATGGACAGCTTCTTGATAAGAATGCAACATAGAATCGATTTGGCGCCTATAAGCAGCTTTTGATAAAGAATGCAACATAGACTCGATTTGGGGCCAGAATTTCTGATAAGAATGCAACATAGAATCGATTTTGCGGCGAATGAACATGAACTTCTTGATAAGAATGCAACATAGAGACTCGATTTGGGGCAAACAATGGCCAGCTTCTTGATAAGAATGCAACATAGAATCGATCGGCGCCTATGGCCAGCTTCGATAAGAATGCAACATAGAATCGGGATTTGGGGCCAATGGCCAGCTTCTTGATAAGAATGCATCATAGACTGATTTAAATAATGGCTTTGACAAGAATGATATAGAATTTGGACGCCCAAATATAAGAATCGATCGATTTGGCGCCTACAGGCCAGCTTCTGATAAGAATGCAACATAGAATCGATTTGGCGCCTATGGCCAGCTTGATAATAAGAATGCATCATAGACTCGATTTGCAATGGCCAGCTTCTTGATAAGAATGCAACATAGACTCGATTTGGCGCCGCCTTTTGATGGCATACAGATTTGGCTTGGCTTTATTGATAAGAATGCAACATAGAATCGATTTGGCGCCTATGGCCAGCTTCTGATAAGAATGCAACATAGAATCGATTTGGCGCCCCAGGCCAGCTTCTTGATAAGAATGCAACATAGACTGATTTGTTAATGGCCAGCTTGATAAGAATGCATCATAGACTCGATTTGGCGCCTATGGCCAGCTTCTTGATAAGAATGCATCATAGACTCGATTTGGGGCCACGGCCAGCTTCTTGATAAGAATGCAACATAGAATCGATTTGGCGCCTATGGACTGCCGCCTATGGCTTTTTGATAAGAATGCAACATAGACTGATTTTGGCGCCCATGGCCAGCTTCTTGATAAGAATGCAACATAGAAATTTTAAATACGATTTTACAAGAATGCAACTATGGCCAGCTTCTTGATAAGAATGCAAATAGAATCGATTTGGCGCCTAACCAGCTTCTTGATAAGAATGCAAATAGACTCGATTTGGGGCCAATGGGTCATTTTTGATAAGAATGCAACATAGACGGCGCCTATGGCCAGCTTTGATAAGAATGCAACATAGACTTGATTTGGGGCCAATGGCCAGCTTCTTGAGAAGAATGCAACATAGAATCGATTTGGCGCCTATGGCCAGCTTCTTGATAAGAATGCATCATAGACTCGATTTAGCGCCAATGGCCAGCTGATAAGAATGCAATATATGTATCGATTTTATGCCTATGGCCAGCTTTTTGATAAGAATGCATCATAGACTGATTTGGGGCCCAATGGCCAGCTTCTTGATAAGAATGCAACATAGACTTGATTTAGCCTATGGCCAGTTTCTTGTTAAGAATGCAATATAGACTCGATTTGGCGCCTATGGCCAGCTTGACATAGCTTCTGATAAGAATGCAACATAGACTCGATTTAAGCCAATGGCCAGCTTCTTGATAAGAATGCAAATAGACCTTGATTTGGCGCCTATGGCCAGTTTCTTGATAAGAATGCAAACATAGAATCGATTTTGCGCCTATGTCCAGCTTCTTGATAAGAATGCAACATAGACTCGATTTGGCGCCCATGGCCAGCTTCTTGATAAGAATGCATCATAGAATCGATTTGCGCCCATGGCCAGCTTGATAAGAATGCAACATAGAATCGATTTGGGGCTCATACAGCTTCTTGATAAGAATGCAACATAGAATCGATTTGGCGCTTCATGGCCAGCTTCTTGATAAGAATGCATCATAGACTCGATTTGGGGCCAATGGCCAGCTTCTTGATAAGAATGCAACATAGAATCGATTTGGCGCCTATGCCCAGCTTCTTGATAAGAATGCAACATAGACTCGATTTGGCCTTTGCCAACTTTGATAAGAATGCAACATAGACTCGATTTGGGGCCAATGGCCAGCTTCTGATAAGAATGCAAATAGACTCGGATTTAGCCACATGGCCAGATAAGAATTGGCGCCTATGGCCAGCTTCTGATAAGAATGCAACATAGACTCGATTTGGGGCCATGTAATGGTTCAGAATTCATAGACTGATAAGAATGAACAAATATAGAATGATTTGGGCCAATGGCCAGCTTCTTGATAAGAATGCAACATAGACTCGATTTGGGGCCAATGGCCAGCTTCTTGATAAGAATGCAACATAGAATCGATTTGGGGCTTGCGGCCAGCTTTTGATAAGAATGCAACATAGAATCGATTTGGCGCCTATGGCCAGCTTTTGATAAGAATGCAACATAGACTGATTTGGCGCCTATGGCCAGCTTGATAAGAATGCATCATAGACTCGATTTGGCGCCTATGGCCAGCTTCTTGATAAGAATGCAACATAGACTCGATTTGGCGCCTATGGCCAGCTTCTTGATAAGAATGCATCATAGACTCGATTTGGCGCCTATGGCCAGCTTTTTGATAAGAATGCATCATAGACTCGATTTGGCGCCTATGGCCAGCTTCTTGATAAGAATGCAACATAGACTCGATTTGGCGCCTATGGCCAGCTTCTTGATAAGAATGCAACATAGACTCGATTTGGCGCCTATGGCCAGCTTCTTGATAAGAATGCAACATAGACTCGATTTGGCGCCTATGGCCAGCTTTTTGATAAGAATGCAACATAGAATCGATTTGGCGCCTATGGCCAGCTTCTTTGATAAGAATGCAACATAGACTTTGGGGATTTGATAAGCGCCTATGGCCAGCTTCTTGATAAGAATGCAACATAGACTCGATTTGGCGCCTATGCCAGCTTCTTGATAAGAATGCAACATAGTCTCGATTTGGCGCCTATGGCCAGCTTCTTGATAAGAATGCAACATAGAATCGATTTGAGTTTAAATGTCAGATAAGAATTGAATCGATTTGGCGCCTATGGCCAGCTTCTTGATAAGAATGCAACATAGACTCGATTTGGCGCTTCTGATAAGAACGGCCAGCTTCTTGATAAGAATGCAACATAGACTTGATTTTGATAAGAATGCAACATAGCCTTTACCCAGCTTCTTGATAAGAATGCAACATAGACTCGATTTGGCGCCTATGGCCAGCTTCTGATAAGAATGCAACATAGACTCGATTTGGCGCCTATGGCCAGCTTCTTGATAAGAATGCAACATAATCTCGATTTGGCGCCAATGGTCAGCTTCTTGATAAGAATGCAACATAGACTCGATTTGGCGCCAATGGCCAGCTTCTTGATAAGAATGCAACATAGAATCGATTTGGCGCCTATGGCCCTTCTTGATAAGAATGCAACATAGAATCGATTTGGCGCCTATGGCCAGCTTTTTGATAAGAATGCATCATAGACTCGATTTGGCGCCAATGGCCAGCTTCTTTATAAGAATGCAACATAGACTCGATTTGGCGCCAATGGCAGCTTTCTGATAAGAATGCATCATAGACTCGATTTGGCGCCTATGGCCAGCTTCTTGATAAGAATGCATCATAGACTCGATTTGGGGCCAATGGCCAGCTTCATGATAAGAATGCAACATAGACTCGATTTGGCGCCTATGGCCAGCTTCTTGATAAGAATGCATCATAGACTCGATTTGGCGCCTATGGCCAGCTTCTTGATAAGAATGCATCATAGACTCGATTTGGCGCCTATGGCCAGCTTCTTGATAAGAATGCATCATAGACTCGATTTGGGGCCAATGGCCAGCTTCTTGATAAGAATGCAACATAGACTCGATTTGGCGCCTATGGCCAGCTTCTTGATAAGAATGCATCATAGACTCGATTTGGCGCCAATGGCCAGCTTCTTGATAAGAATGCAACATAGACTCGATTTGGCGCCTATGGCCAGCTTCTTGATAAGAATGCAAAATAGACTCGATTTAGCGCCTATGGCCAGCTTCTTGATAAGAATGCAACATAGACTTGATTTGGCCAGTTTCATAAGAATGCAAATATAGCTTCTTGATAAGAATGCAACATAGACTCGATTTGGCGCCAATGGCCAGCTTCTTGATAAGAATGCAACATAGAATCGATTTGGCGCCTATGGCCAGCTTTTTGATAAGAATGCAAACATAGACTCGATTTGGCGCCAATGGCCCAGCTTCTTGATAAGAATGCAACATAGAAACAACATAAGAATCGATTTGGCGCCTATGGCCAGCTTCTTGATAAGAATGCAACATAGAATCGATTTGGCGCCAATGGCCAGCTTCTGATAAGAATGCAACATAGACTCGATTTGGCGCCTGGCGGCCAGCTTCTTGATAAGAATGCAACATAGAATCGATTTGGCGCCTATGGCCAGCTTGATAAGAATGCAACATAGACTTGATTTGGCGCTCGATTTGCAAGCTTCTTGATAAGAATGCAACATAGACTCGATTTGGCCCGCGGCCAGCTTCTTTGATAAGAATGCAACATAGAATCGATTTGGCGCCTATGGCCAGCTTCTTGATAAGAATGCAACATAGAGAATTGGCGCCTGATTCTTTGAAAGAATGCATATAGACTCGATTTGGCGCCTATGGCCAGCTTCTTGATAAGAATGCAACATAGACTCGATTTGGCGCCTATGGCCAGCTTCTGATAAGAATGCAACATAGACTCGATTTGGCGCCTGCCTTGATAAGAATGCAAATAGACTTTTGGCGCCTGATAAAGAATGCAAATCATAGACTCGATTTGGCGCCTATGGCCAGCTTCTTATAAGAATGCAACATAGACTTTTGGCGCCTATGGCCAGCTTCTTGATAAGAATGCAACATAGAATCGATTTGGCGCCTATGGCCAGCTTCTTGATAAGAATGCAACATAGACTCGATTTGGGGCCAATGGCCAGCTTGATAAGAATGCAACATAGACTCGATTTGGCGCCTATGCCCAGCTTCTTGATAAGAATGCAACATAGAATCGATTTGGCGCCTATGGCCAGCTTCTTGATAAGAATGCAACATAGACTCGATTTGGCGCCTATGCCAGCTTCTTGATAAGAATGCATCATAGACTTCTTGATAAGAATGCAACATAGACTCGATTTGGGGCCAATGGCCAGCTTCTTGATAAGAATGCAACATAGAATCGATTTGGCGCCTGCACCAGCTTCTGATAAGAATGCAACATAGAATCGATTTGGCGCCTATGGCCAACTTCTTGATAAGAATGCAACATAGAATCGATTTGAATGCCCATGGCCAGCTTTGGATAAGAATGCAACATAGACTCGATTTGGCGCCTATGGCCAGCTATAAGAATGCAACATAGACTCGATTTGGCCCATGGCCAGCTTCTTGATAAGAATGCAACATAGACTCGATTTGGCGCCTGGGCCAGCTTCTTGATAAGAATGCAACATAGAATCGATTTGGCGCTAATGGCCAGCTTCTTGATAAGAATGCAACATAGAATCGATTTGGCCCTATGGCCAGCTTGATAAGAATGCAACATAGACTCGATTTGGCGCCTATGGCCAGCTTCTGATAAGAATGCAACATAGACTCGATTTGGCGCCTATGGCCAGCTTCTTGATAAGAATGCAACATAGACTCGATTTGGCGCCTATGGCCAGCTTCTTGATAAGAATGCAACATAGAATCGATTTGGCGCCTATGGCCAGCTTCTTGATAAACATAGAATTTGCCATGGCCAGCTTCTTTATAAGGAATGCAACATAGAATCGATTTGGCGCCTATGGCCAGCTTCTTGATAAGAATGCAACATAGATAGAATTTGGCGCATGGCAATGGCCAGCTTCTAAGAATGCATCATAGAATCGATTTGGCGCCTATGGCCAGCTTTTGATAAGAATGCAACATAGACTCGATTTGGCGCCTATGGCCAGCTTCTTGATAAGAATGCAACATAGAATCGATTTGGCGCCTATGAATGCCATAGAATTTCTTGATAAGAATGCAACATAGAATCGATTTGATTTTCTTGATAAGAATGCCTATGGCCAGCTTCTTGATAAGAATGCAACATAGAATCGATTTGGTGCCAATGGCCAGCTTCTTGATAAGAATGCAACATAGAATCGATTTGGCGCCTATGGCCAGCTTTTTGATAAGAATGCAACATAGAATCGATTTGGGGCCAATGGCCAGCTTCTTGATAAGAATGCAACATAGACTCGATTTGGCGCCAGGCCAGCTTCTTGATAAGAATGCAACATAGACTCGATTTGGCGCCTATGGCCAGCTTCTTGATAAGAATGCAACATAGAATCGATTTGGCGCCTATGGCCAGCTTCTTGATAAGAATGCAACATAGAATCGATTTGGCGCCTATGGCCAGCTTCTTGATAAGAATGCAACATAGAATCGATTTGGGGCCAATGGCCAGCTTCTTGATAAGAATGCAACATAGAATCGATTTGGCGCCTATGGCCAGCTTCTTGATAAGAATGCAACATAGAATCGATTTGGCGCCTATGGCCAGCTTCTTGATAAGAATGCAACATAGAATCGATTTGGCGCCTATGGCCAGCTTCTGATAAGAATGCAACATAGAATCGATTTGGCGCCTATGGCCAGCTTCTTGATAAGAATGCAACATAGAATCGATTTGGCGCCTATGGCCAGCTTCTTGATAAGAATGCAACATAGAATCGATTTGGCGCCTATGGCCAGCTTGATAAGAATGCAACATAGACTCGATTTAGCGCCTATGGCCAGCTTCTTGATAAGAATGCAAATATAGAATCCAATGGCCATTTGAATGCAACCTGATTTGGCCAGCTTTTGATAAGAATGCAACATAGACTCGATTTGGCGCCTGCGCCCAGCTTCTTGATAAGAATGCATCATAGACTCGATTTAAATAATGAATAAGAATGCAACATAGACTCTTTGATAAGAATGATAAGATAGAATCGATTTGGCGCCAGCTAATGGCCAGCTTCTTGATAAGAATGCAACATAGACTCGATTTGGCGCCTATGGCCAGCTTCTTGATAAGAATGCAACATAGACTCGATTTGGGGCCAATGGCCAGCTTCTTGATAAGAATGCAACATAGAATCGATTTGGCGCCTATGGCCAGCTTCTTGATAAGAATGCAACATAGAATCGATTTGGCGCCTATGGCCAGCTTCTTGATAAGAATGCAACATAGAATCGATTTGGGGCCAATGGCCAGCTTCTTGATAAGAATGCAACATAGAATCGATTTGGCGCCTATGGCCAGCTTCTTGATAAGAATGCATCATAGAATCGATTTGGGGCCAATGGCCAGCTTGATAAGAATGCAACATAGAATCTGATTTGGCGCAATGGCCAGCTTCTGATAAGAATGCAACATAGAATCGATTTGGCGCCTATGGCCAGCTTCTTGATAAGAATGCAACATAGAATCGATTTGGCGCCAATGGCCAGCTTCTGATAAGAATGCAACATAGAATCGATTTGGTGCCAATGGCCAGCTTCTTGATAAGAATGCAACATAGAATCGATTTGGGGCCAATGGCCAGCTTCTTGATAAGAATGCAACATAGAATCGATTTGGCGCCTATGGCCAGCTTCTTGATAAGAATGCAACATAGAATCGATTTGGCGCCAATGGCCAGCTTCTTGATAAGAATGCAACATAGAATCGATTTGGCGCCAATGGCCAGCTTCTTGATAAGAATGCAACATAGAATCGATTTGGGGCCAATGGCCAGCTTCTTGATAAGAATGCAACATAGACTCGATTTGGCGCCTATGGCCAGCTTCTGATAAGAATGCAACATAGAATCGATTTGGCGCCAATGCCAGCTTGATAAGAATGCAACATAGAATCGATTTGGCGCCTATGGCCAGCTTCTTGATAAGAATGCAACATAGACCGATTTGGCGCCAAGAAATGCCAGCTTCTGATAAGAATGCAACATAGAGCGATTTGGCGCCTAGCTTCTTCTTGATAAGAATGCAAATATAGAATCGATTTGGCGCCTATGGCCAGCTTGATAAGAATGCAAATATAGAATCGATTTGGCGCTTCTTGATAAGAATGCAACATAGAATCGGCCATGGCCAGCTTCTTTGATAAGAATGCAACATAGAATCGATTTGGCGCCTATGGCCAGCTTTGATAAGAATGCAACATAGAATCGATTTGGCGCTAATGGCCAGCTTCTTGATAAGAATGCAACATAGACTCGATTTGGCGCCTTGATAAGAATGCCAGCGATTTGGGGCCAATGGCCAGCTGATAAGAATGCAACATAGAATCGATTTGCCTATGGCCAGCTTCTTGATAAGAATGCAATATAGAATCGATTTGGCGCCAATGGCCAGCTTCTTTGATAAGAATGCAACATAGAATTAGATGGCGCCAATGGCCAGCTTCTTGATAAGAATGCAACATAGAATCGATTTGGGGCCAATGGCCAGCTTCTTGATAAGAATGCAACATAGAATCGATTTGGCGCCAATGGCCAGCTTCTTGATAAGAATGCAACATAGAATTGATTTGGCGCCCATGGCCAGCTTCTTGATAAGAATGCATCATAGACTCGATTTGGCGCCTATGGCCAGCTTCTTGATAAGAATGCAACATAGACTCGATTTGGCGCCTATGGCCAGCTTCTTGATAAGAATGCAACATAGAATCGATTTGGTGCCAATGGCCAGCTTCTTGATAAGAATGCAACATAGAATCGATTTGGGCCTGGCCAGCTTCTTGATAAGAATGCAAATATAGACTCGATTTGGGCGCCTTGATAAGAATGGCCGCCAAGGCCAGCTTCTTGATAAGAATGCAACATAGACTTTGGCGCCTAATAATAGATTTTGATAAGAATGCAACATAGAATCGATTTGGCGCCTATGGCCAGCTTCTTGATAAGAATGCAACATAGACTCGATTTGGCGCCAATGGCCAGCTTCTTGATAAGAATGCAACATAGACTCGATTTAGCGCCTGGCCAGCTTGATAAGAATGCAACATAGACTGATTTGGCGCCATGGCCAGCTTCTTGATAAGATAAGATTTATGCCATGGCATAAGAATGCAACATAGAATCGATTTGGCGCCTATGGCCAGCTTCTTGATAAGAATGCAACATAGAATCGATTTGGGGCCAATGGCAGCCTTGGATAAGAATGCAACATAGATCGATTTGGCGCCTATTTCTGATAAGAATGCATCATAGACTCGATTTGGGGCCAATGGCCAGCTTCTTGATAAGAATGCAAACATAGACTCGATTTAAATAATGGCCAGCTTCTTGATAAGAATGCAAATATAGAATCGATTTGGCCTATGGCCAGCTTTTGATAAGAATGCAAATATAGACTCGATTTGGCGCCTATGGCCAGCTTCTTGATAAGAATGCAACATAATCGATTTGGCGCCTATGGCCAGCTTCTTGATAAGAATGCAACATAGACTCGATTTGGCGCCTATGGCCAGCTTCTTGATAAGAATGCAACATAGACTCGATTTGGCGCCTATGGCCAGCTTCTTGATAAGAATGCATCATAGACTCGATTTGGCGCCTATGGCCAGCTTCTTGATAAGAATGCATCATAGACTCGATTTGGGGCCAATGGCCAGCTTCTTGATAAGAATGCAACATAGACTCGATTTGGCGCCTATGGCCATAAGAATGCTTTTGGCTTGATAAGAATGCAACATAGAATCGATTTGGCGCCTATGGCCAGCTTTTGATAAGAATGCAACATAGAATCGATTTGGCGCCAATGGCCAGCTTCTTGATAAGAATGCAACATAGACTGATTTGGCGCCTATGGCCAGCTTCTGATAAGAATGCAACATAGAATCGATTGGCGCCTATGGCCAGCTTCTTGATAAGAATGCAACATAGACTCGATTTGGCGCCTTAATGCCAGCTTCTTGATAAGAATGCAACATAGAATCGATTTGGCGCCTATGGCCAGCTTCTGATAAGAATGCAACATAGAATCGATTTGATGGCAGCTTGATAAGAATGCAAGAATGATTTGGCGCCTATGGCCACATAAGAATGCAATATAGAATCGGCGCTCATGGCCAGCTTCTTTAAGAATGCAACATAGAATCGATTTGGCGCCAATGGCCAGCTTCTGATAAGAATGCAACATAGACTCGATTTGGCGCCTATGGCCAGCTTTTGATAAGAATGCAACATAGACTCGATTTGGCGCCTGCGGCCAGCTTCTTGATAAGAATGCAACATAGAATCGATTTGGCGCCCATGGCCAGCTTCTTGATAAGAATGCAACATAGAATCGATTTGGCGCCTGGCCAGCTTGATAAGAATGCAACATAGAATCGATTTGGCGCCTATGGCCAGCTTCTTGATAAGAATGCAACATAGAATCGATTTGGCGCCTGGCCAGCAACATAGACCCGATTTGGCGCCTATGCCAGCTTCTTGATAAGAATGCAACATAGACTCGATTTGGGGCCAATGGCCAGCTTCTTGATAAGAATGCAACATAGAATCGATTTGGCGCCTTTATATGGCCAGCTTCTTGATAAGAATGCAACATAGATCGATTTGGCGCCCGGCCAGCTTCTTGATAAGAATGCATCATAGAATCGATTTGGCGCCCATGGCCAGCTTCTTGATAAGAATGCAACATAGACTTTGGCGATTTGATAAGCGCCTATGGCCAGCTTCTGATAAGAATGCATCATAGACTCGATTTGCGCCTATGGCAGCTTCTTTAAGAATGCAACATAGACTCGATTTGGGGCCCTGGCCAGCTTCTGATAAGAATGCAACATAGACTCGATTTGGCGCCAACGGCCAGCTTCTTGATAAGAATGCATCATAGACTTGATTTGGCGCCTATGGCCAGCTTTTTGATAAGAATGCATCATAGAATCGATTTGGCGCCTATGCCCAGCTTCTGATAAGAATGCATCAATAGACTCGGCGCTGGCTTGATACCCGGCGCAGCTTCTTGATAAGAATGCAAATATAGACTCGATTGTACAGCTTCGATAAGAATGGCCAATCGCTTTGATAAGAATGCAACATAGACTCGATTTGGCGCCTATGGCCAGCTTCTTGATAAGAATGCAACATAGACTCGATTTGGCCTATGGCCAATAAGAATGCAACATAGAATTTTTGGCCATATAAGAATGCAACATAGACTCGATTTGGCGCCTGAATGCAACATAGAATTCTTTGGCGCCTATAAGATAAGAATGCAACATAGAATCGATTTGGCGCCTATGGCCAGCTTCTGATAAGAATGCAAAATAGACTCGATTTGGCGCCTATGGCCAGCTTTTTGATATGAATGCAACATAGAATCGATTTAAGCGCCTAAGAATGGCGCTTATGCTTCTTGATAAGAATGCAACATAGAATCGATTTGGCGCCTGGGCCAGCTTCTTGATAAGAATGCAACATAGAATCGATTTGGTGCCTATGGCCAGCTTTTTGATAAGAATGCAACATAGAATCGATTTGGCGCCTATGGCCATCTTCTTTGATAAGAATGCAACATAGAATCGATTTGGCGCCTATGGCCAGCTTCTTGATAAGAATGCAACATAGATCGATTTGGCGCCTATGGCCCGGCTTCTTGATAAAATGCAACATAGACTCGATTTGGGGCCCATGATTTGTTTGCCCAGCTTCTTGATAAGAATGCAACATAGACTCTGATTTGGCGCCTGCGGCCAACTTCTTGATAAGAATGCAACATAGACACGATTTGGCGCCTATGGCCAGCTTCTTGATAAGAATGCAAATATAGACTCGATTTGGGGCCAATGGCCAGCTTCTGATAAGAATGCAACATAGAATCGATTTGGCGCCTATGGCCAGCTTCTTGATAAGAATGCATCATAGAATTTGGGGCCAATGGACGATTTGCAACATGAACTCGATTTGGCGCCCATGGCCCGGCTTCTTGATAAGAATGCAACATAGACTCGATTTGGCGCCTATGGCCAGCTTCTTGATAAGAATGCATAATAGATTCGATTTGGCGCCTGCGGCCAGCTTCTGATAAGAATGCAACATAGAATCGATTTGGCGCCTATGGCCAGCTTTTTGATAAGAATGCAACATAGAATCGATTTGGCGCCAAATGCCAGCTTTGATAAGAATGCAACATAGACTCGATTTTGGCGCCTGATGGCCAGAATCTTGATAAGAATACCAGCATAGACTCGATTTAGAATGGTCGATTTGGCGCCTATGGCCAGCTTCTTGATAAGAATGCAACATAGACTCGATTTGGCGCCTATGGCCAGCTTCTTTGAAGAATGCAACATATAGAATCGATTTGGCGCCTATGGCCAGCTTCTTGATAAGAATGCAACATAGAATCGATTTGGCGCCTATGGCCAGCTTCTTGATAAGAATGCAACATAGAATTTGGCGCGATTTGATAAGAATGCGCCTATGGCCAACTTCTTGATAAGAATGCAACATAGAATCGATTTGGCGCCTATGGCCAGCTTTTTGATAAGAATGCAACATAGAATCGATTTGGCGCCTATGGCCAGCTTCTTGATAAGAATGCAACATAGAATCGATTTGGCGCCTATGGCCAGCTTCTTGATAAGAATGCAAATATAGAATCGATTTGGCGCCAATGGCCAGCTTCTTGATAAGAATGCAACATAGAATCGATTTGGCGCTATACAGCCAGCTTCTTGATAAGAATGCAACATAGACTCGATTTGGCGCCTGTGGCCAGCTTCTTGATAAGAATGCAACATAGAATCGATTTGGTGCCTATGGCCAGCTTCTTGATAAGAATGCAACATAGAATCGATTTGGCGCCTGGGCCAGCTTCTTGATAAGAATGCAACATAGAATCGATTTGGCGCCTATGGCCAGCTTTTTGATAAGAATGCAACATAGAATCGATTTGGCGCCTATGGCCAGCTTCTTGATAAGAATGCAACATAGAATCGATTTAAATAATGGCCAATTGATAAGAATGCGAATCGATTGGCGCCTATGGCCAGCTTCTTGATAAGAATGCAACATAGAATCGATTTGGCGCCTATGGCCAGCTTCTTGATAAGAATGCAACATAGAATCGATTTGGGCCAATGGCCAGCTTCTTGATAAGAATGCAACATAGAATCGATTTGGCGCCTGCGGCCAGCTTCTTGATAAGAATGCAACAGACTCGATTTGGGGGCCAATCAACATAGATTTTGGCGCTCATGGCCAGCTTCTTGATAAGAATGCAACATAGAATCGATTTGGGGCCTATGGCCAGCTTCTTGATAAGAATGAATCATAGAATCGATTTGGAATGCCTATAGAATCAGCTTCTTGATAAGAATGCAACATAGACTCGATTTGGCGCCTATGGCCAGCTTCTTGATAAGAATGCATCATAGATTTTGGCGCCTATGGCCAGCTTGATAAGAATGCAACATAGACTCGATTTGGGGCCTGCGGCCAGCTTCTTGATAAGAATGCAACATAGAATCGATTTGGCGCCTATGGCCAGCTTCGATAAGAATGCAACATAGACTCGATTTGGCGCCTATGGCCAGCTTCTTGATAAGAATGCAACATAGACTCGATTTGGCGCCTATGGCCAGCTTCTTGATAAGAATGCAACATAGACCTGATTTGGCGCCTATGGCCAGCTTCTTGATAAGAATGCAACATAGAATCGATTTGGCGCCTATGGCCAGCTTCTTGATAAGAATGCAACATAGAATCGATTTGGCGCCTTCTTGATAAGAATGCAACATAGAATCTTGATAAGAATGCAACATAGAATCGATTTGGCGCCAATGGCCAGCTTCTTGATAAGAATGCAACATAGAATCGATTTGGCGCCTATGGCCAGCTTCTTGATAAGAATGCAACATAGACTCGATTTGGCGCCTGGCCATCTTGATAAGAATGCAACATAGACTCGATTTGGCGCCTATGGCCATGCTTTGATAAGAATGCAACATAGACGATTTGGCGCCTATGGCCAGCTTCTTGATAAGAATGCAACATAGAATCGATTTGGCGCCTATGGCCAGCTTCTTGATAAGAATGCAACATAGAATCGATTTGGCGCCATGGCCAGCTTCTTGATAAGAATGCAACATAGAATCGATTTGGCGCCTATGGCCAGCTTCTTGATAAGAATGCAACATAGACTCGATTTGGCGCCTATGGCCAGCTTCTTGATAAGAATGCAACATAGATCGATTTGGCGCCTATGGCCAGCTTCTTGATAAGAATGCAACATAGACTCGATTTGGCGCCTATAAGGCCAGCTTGATAAGAATGCAACATAGACTCGATTTGGCGCCTATGGCCAGCTTCTTGATAAGAATGCAACATAGAATCGATTTGGCGCCTATGGCCAGATAAGAATGCTTCTTGATAAGAATGCAACATAGACTCGATTTGGCGCCCTATGGCCAGCTTCTTGATAAGAATGCAACATAGAATCGATTTGGCGCCTATGGCCAGCTTCTTGATAAGAATGCAACATAGAATCGATTTGGCGCCTATGGCCAGCTTCTTGATAAGAATGCAACATAGAATCGATTTGGCGCCTATGGCCAGCTTCTTGATAAGAATGCAACATAGACTCGATTTGGGGCCAATGGCCAGCTTCTTGATAAGAATGCAACATAGACTCGATTTGGCGCCAATGGCCAGCTTCTTGATAAGAATGCAACATAGACTCGATTTGGCGCCTATGGCCAGCTTCTTGATAAGAATGCAACATAGAATCGATTTGGCGCCTATGGCCAGCTTCTTGATAAGAATGCAACATAGAATCGATTTGGCGCCTATGGCAGCTTCTTGATAAGAATGCAACATAGAATCGATTTGGCGCCTATGGCCAGCTTCTTGATAAGAATGCAACATAGACTCGATTTGGCGCCTATGGCCAGCTTCTTGATAAGAATGCAACATAGAATCGATTTGGCGCCTATGGCCAGCTTCTTGATAAGAATGCAACATAGACTCGATTTGGCGCCTATGGCCAGCTTCTTGATAAGAATGCAACATAGACTCGATTTGGCGCCTATGGCCAGCTTCTTGATAAGAATGCATCATAGACTCGATTTGGGGCCTATGGCCAGCTTCTTGATAAGAATGCAACATAGACTCGATTTGGCGCCTATGGCCAGCTTCTTGATAAGAATGCATCATAGACTCGATTTGGCGCCAATGGCCAGCTTCTTGATAAGAATGCAACATAGACTCGATTTGGCGCTCTATGGCCAGCTTGATAAGAATGCATCATAGACTCGATTTGGCGCCTGCGGCCAGCTTCTTGATAAGAATGCATCATAGAGTCGATTTGGCGCCTATGGCCAGCTTCTGATAAAAATGCAACATAGACTCGATTTAATAATGGCGCCTCTTGATAAGAATGTACCAGCTCGATTTTTGATAAGAATGCCACATAGACTCGATTTGGCGCCAATGGCCAGTGATAAGAATGCAACATAGACACGATTTGGCGCCTTACGCTTCTTGATAAGAATGCAACATAGACTCGATTTGCGCCCATGGCCAGCTTCTGATAAGAACAAATCGCATCATAGAATTGATTTGGGCGTTCATGGCCAGCTTCTTGATAAGAATGCCACATAGATTCGATTTAGTGCCCATGGCCAGCTTCTTGATAAGAATGCAAATATGTCTCGATTTGGCCAGCTTTTGATAAGAATGCCTGGTACCAGTTTCTTTGATAAGAATGCAACATAGACTGATTTGGCGCTATAATAGCTTCTTGATAAGGCCAGCCTCCCTTGATAAGAATGCAACATAGACTCGATTTGGCGCCTATGGCCAGCTTTGATAAGAATGCATCATAGACTGATTTACGATTTAGGCCAGCTTCTTGATAAGAATGCCATTTGCTGCGTCAGCTGATAAGAATGCAACATAGATCGATTTAAGGCCAATGGTATCAGCTTCTTGATAAGAATGCAATATAGATTTTGTCATGATTTTGATAAGAATGCATCGAGACTAATGGCCCCTTCTGATAAGAATGCAAATAGACTGATTTTGGCGCCGATGGCCAGCTTGATAAGAATGATAAGAATTTGCAATGTACATAGAATGCGACATAGACTCGATTTCATGCCCAACCATTTTCATAAGAATGCATCATAGAGTCGATTTGGGGCCAATGGCCACAGCTTGATAAGAATGCAACATAGACTTCCGATTTGCGCCTATGGCCAGCTTGATAAGAATGCAACATAGACTGATTTATAAGAATGCCTAGACTGATTAAGCCAGCTTCTGATAAGAATGCATCATAGACTGGATTTCAGGCCAATGCCAATGGAAACCTGAGCTTCTTGATAAGAATGCAACATAGAATCGATTTGGCGCCTATGGCCAGCTTCTTGATAAGAATGCAACATAGAATCGATTTGGCGCCTATGGCCAGCTTCTTTGATAAGAATGCAACATAGAATCGATTTGGCGCCAATGGCCAGCTTCTTGATAAGAATGCAACATAGACTCGATTTGGCGCCAATGGCCAGCTTCTTGATAAGAATGCAACATAGAATCGATTTGGCGCCTATGGCCAGCTTCTTGATAAGAATGCAACATAGAATCGATTTGGCGCCTATGGCCAGCTTCTTGATAAGAATGCAACATAGAATCGATTTGGTGCCTATGGCCAGCTTCTTGATAAGAATGCAACATAGAATCGATTTGGCGCCTATGGCCAGCTTCTTGATAAGAATGCAACATAGAATCGATTTGGCGCCTATGGCCAGCTTCTTGATAAGAATGCAACATAGACTCGATTTGGGGCCAATGGCCAGCTTCTTGATAAGAATGCATCATAGACTCGATTTGGCGCCTATGGCCAGCTTCTTGATAAGAATGCAACATAGAATCGATTTGGCGCCTATGGCCAGCTTCTTGATAAGAATGCAACATAGAATCGATTTGGTGCCAATGGCCAGCTTCTTGATAAGAATGCAACATAGAATCGATTTGGTGCCAATGGCCAGCTTCTTGATAAGAATGCAACATAGACTCGATTTGGCGCCTGGGCCAGCTTCTTGATAAGAATGCAACATAGAATCGATTTGGCGCCTATGGCCAGCTTCTTGATAAGAATGCAACATAGAATCGATTTGGCGCCTATGGCCAGCTTCTTGATAAGAATGCAACATAGAATCGATTTGGCGCCTATGGCCAGCTTCTTGATAAGAATGCAACATAGACTCGATTTGGCGCCTATGGCCAGCTTCTTGATAAGAATGCAACATAGAGAATCGATTTGGCGCCTATGGCCAGCTTCTTGATAAGAATGCAACATAGACTCGATTTGGCGCCTATGGCCAGCTTTGATTTGCATAAGAACAATGCATCATAAGAATGCCATTAATAGATTATGCCCCATGGCCAAGAATAACATAGTTCGATTTGGCGCTTGGCCACAAAGAATGCATCATAGACTTGATTTAAGCCATAATAGCCCTTGATAAGTATGCACTATAGACTGGCCAGCTTCTGATAAGAATGCATCATAGACTCGATTTGGGGGCCTATGCACAGCTTCTTGATAAGAATGCAACATAGATTCTCGATTTGGCGCTTATGGCCGCTTCTTGATAAGAATGCATCATAGACTGGATTTGGGGCCACGGCCCTCTCTTGGATAAGAATGCAACATAGACTGGATTTGGCGTCGATAATAGCTTCTGATAAGAATGCATCATAGACTGATTTGGCGCTCATAATAATCCCTCCACAAGAATGCATCATAGACTCGATTTGGGGCCAATGGCCAGCTTCGATAAGACGCAAATATGACTTGATTGGCGCCTATGGCCAGCTTCTTGATAAGAATGAACATAGACTCGATTTGGCGCCTGCGGTCAGCTTCTTGATAAGAATGCATCATAGACTCGATTTGGGGCCAATGGCCGCTTCGATAAGGAATGCAACATAGACTGACGGCGCCTGCGGCCTGCTTCTCGATAAGAATGCATCATAGATTGATTTGGCGCTCATGGCTAGCTTCTCTTGATCAGAATGCAACATAGAATCGATTTGGCGCCTATGGCCAGCTTCTTGATAAGAATGCAACATAGAATCGATTTGAATTTGGCGCCTATGGCCAGCTTCTTGATAAGAATGCAACATAGACTCGATTTGGCGCCTATGGCCAGCTTCTGATAAGAATGCAACATAGAATCGATTTGGCGCCTATGGCCAGCTTCTTGATAAGAATGCAACATAGAATCGATTTGGCGCCTATGGCCAGCTTCTTGATAAGAATGCAACATAGAATCGATTTGGCGCCAATGGCCAGCTTCTTGATAAGAATGCAACATAGAATCGATTTGGCGCCTATGGCCAGCTTCTTGATAAGAATGCAACATAGACTCGATTTGGGGCCAATGGCCAGCTTCTTGATAAGAATGCAACATAGAATCGATTTGGCGCCTATGGCCAGCTTCTTGATAAGAATGCATCATAGAATCGATTTGATTTGATAAGAATGCAACATAGAATCGATTTGGCCCAGCTTCTTGATAAGAATGCATCATAGACTCGATTTGGGGCCAATGGCCAGCTTCTTGATAAGAATGCAACATAGAATCGATTTGGCGCCTATGGCCAGCTTCTTGATAAGAATGCAACATAGAATCGATTTGGCGCCTATGGCCAGCTTCTTGATAAGAATGCAACATAGACTCGATTTGGCGCCTATGGCCAGCTTCTTGATAAGAATGCAACATAGAATCGATTTGGCGCCTAGAATCGATGGCCAGCTTCTTGATAAGAATGCAACATAGAATCGATTTGGCGCCTATGGCCAGCTTCTTGATAAGAATGCAAATATAGAATCGATTTGGCGCCAATAGCCATAAGAATGGCCAGCTTCTTGATAAGAATGCAACATAGAATCGATTTGGCGCCAATGGCCAGCTTCTTGATAAGAATGCAACATAGAATCGATTTGGCGCCAATGGCCAGCTTCTTGATAAGAATGCAAATAGAATCGATTTGGCGCCAATGGCCAGCTTCTTGATAAGAATGCAACATAGAATCGATTGGCGCCTATGGCCAGCTTCTTGATAAGAATGCAACATAGAATCGATTTGGCGCCTATGGCCAGCTTCTTGATAAGAATGCAACATAGAATCGATTTGGCGCCTATGGCCAGCTTCTTGATAAGAATGCAACATAGAATCGATTTGGTGCCAATGGCCAGCTTCTTGATAAGAATGCAACATAGAATCGATTTGGTGCCAATGGCCAGCTTCTTGATAAGAATGCAACATAGACTCGATTTGGCGCCTATGGCCAGCTTCTTGATAAGAATGCAACATAGAATCGATTTGGCGCCTATGGCCAGCTTCTTGATAAGAATGCAACATAGAATCGATTTGCCTAAGGCCAGCTTCTGATAAGAATGCAACATAGAATCGGCCCTATGGCCAGCTTCTTGATAAGAATGCAACATAGAATCGATTTGGCGCCAATGGCCAGCTTCTTGATAAGAATGCAACATAGAATCGATTTGGCGCCTATGGCCAGCTTCTTGATAAGAATGCAACATAGACTCGATTTGGGGCCAATGGCCAGCTTCTTGATAAGAATGCAACATAGAATCGATTTGGTGCCTATGGCCAGCTTCTTGATAAGAATGCAACATAGAATCGATTTGGTGCCTATGGCCAGCTTCTTGATAAGAATGCAACATAGAATCGATTTGGCGCCTATGGCCAGCTTCTTGATAAGAATGCAACATAGAATCGATTTGGCGCCAATGGCCAGCTTCTTGATAAGAATGCAAATATAGAATCGATTTGGCGCCTATGGCCAGCTTCTGATAAGAATGCAACATAGAATCGATTTGGCGCCTATGGCCAGCTTCTTGATAAGAATGCAACATAGAATCGATTTGGCGCCTTTGGTGCCCTGGCCAGCTTCTTGATAAGAATGCAACATAGAATCGATTTGGCGCCTATGGCCAGCTTCTTGATAAGAATGCAACATAGAATCGATTTGGGCCTATGGCCAGCTTCTTGATAAGAATGCAACATAGACTGATTTGGCGCCTATGCACGCTTCTTGACAGCATGCAACATAGACTCGATATGGCGTCGGCACAGCTTGATAAGAATGCATCATAGACTGATTTCATGCCTGCGGCCATTTCTTGATAAGAATGCCACATAGACTCGATTTGGCGTTTGCGGCCAGCTTCTTTGATAAGAATGCAAATAAGTCTTCGATTTATGCCTATGGCCGCTTCGATAAGAATGCAACATAGATCAATTTGGCGCCTATGCACAGCTTCTTGATAAGAATGCAACATATGTCTCGATTTGCGCCTATGGCCGCTTCTTGATAAGCACGCATCATAGACTTCGATCGGCGCCTATGGCCAGCTTCTGACAAGTATGCAACATAGACTCGATTTATGCCCATGGCCAGCTTCTTGATAAGAATGCAACATAGACTCGGATTTGGCGCCTAAGTGGTCAGCTTCTGATAAGAATGCATCATAGACTCGATTTGGCGCCTATGGCCAGCTTTCTTGATAAGAATGCATCATAGACTCGATTGATAAGAATGCAACATAGTCTCGATTTGCCTGCGGCAGTTTCTTGATAAGAATGCCAATATAGACTCGATTTGGCGCTCATGGCCAGCTTCTTGATAAGAATGCCAAGAATAAATCTCTGATTTGGCGCCTATGCCAGCTTCTTGATAAGAATGCAACATAGTCCCGATTTGGCGCCTGCGGCACAGCTTCTTGATAAGAATGCATCATAGACTCGATTTTGGCGTTTGGCCAGTTTTGATAAGAAAACATAGACTTGATTTGGCCCATGGCCAGCTTCTTGATAAGAATGCAACATAGACTCGATTTGGCGCCCATGGCCAGCTTTGACAAGAATGCATCATAGATTCGATTTGGCAACATAGACTCGATTTACGCCTATGGCCAGCTTCTTGATAAGAATGCAAATATAGAATCGATTTGGCGCCTATGGCCAGCTTCGATAAGAATGCAAATATAGACTGATTTGGTGCCTGTGGCCAGCTTTCTTGATAAGAATGCAACATAGACTCGATTTAAGTGCCTATGGCCAGCTTTTGATAAGAATGCATCATAGACTCGATTTGTTTGGGCCAGCTTCTTTGATGAGAATGCAACATAGACTGATTTGGCGCCTATGGGCCAGCTTCTTGATAAGAATGCAACATAGAATCGATTTGGCCAATGGCCAGCTTCTTGATAAGAATGCAACATAGAATCGATTTGGCGCCTATGGCCAGCTTCTTGATAAGAATGCAACATAGAATCGATTTGGCGCCTATGGCCAGATTCTTGATAAGAATGCAACATAGAATCGATTTGGCGCCTATGGCCAGCTTCTTGATAAGAATGCAACATAGAATCGATTTGGCGCCTATGGCCAGCTTCTTGATAAGAATGCAACATAGAATCGATTTGGCGCCTATGGCCAGCTTCTTGATAAGAATGCATCATGCCGATTTAAGCTTCTTCTTGATAAGAATGCAACATAGAATCGATTTGGCGCCTATGGCCAGCTTCTTGATAAGAATGCAACATAGAATCGATTTGGTGCCAATGGCCAGCTTCTTGATAAGAATGCAACATAGACTCGATTTGGTGCCAATGGCCAGCTTCTTGATAAGAATGCAACATAGACTCGATTTGGCGCCTATTTCTTGATAAGAATGCAACATAGACTCGATTTGGCGCCTATGGCCAGCTTCTTGATAAGAATGCAACATAGAATCGATTTGGCGCCTATGGCCAGCTTCTTGATAAGAATGCAACATAGAATCGATTTGGCGCCTATGGCCAGCTTCTTGATAAGAATGCAAACTCGATAGAATCGATTTAAGAATGCAACATGGTCTCGATTTGGGGGCATGGCCAGCTTGATAAGAATGCAACATAGACTCGATTTGGCGCCTATGGCCAGCTTCTTGATAAGAATGCAACATAGAATCGATTTGCAACATAGAATCGATTTGCCCTATGGCTTCTGATAAGAATGCAACATAGAATCGATTTGGCGCCTATGGCCATTTGCTTCTTGATAAGAATGCAACATAGAATCGATTTGGCGCCTATGGCCAGCTTCTTGATAAGAATGCAACATAGAATCGATTTGGCGCCTATGGCCAGCTTCTTGATAAGAATGCAACATAGAATCGATTTGGGGCCTAATGGCCAGCTTGATAAGAATGCAACATAGACTCGATTTGGCGCCTATGGCCAGCTTGATAAGAATGCAACATAGAATCGATTTGGCGCCTATGGCCAGCTTCTTGATAAGAATGCAACATAGAATCGATTTGGGGCCAATGGCCAGCTTCTTGATAAGAATGCAACATAGACTCGATTTGGCGCCTATGGCCAGCTTCTGATAAGAATGCAACATAGACTCGATTTGGCGCCAATGGCCAGCTTGATAAGAATGCAACATAGACTGATTTGGGGCCAATGGCCAGCTTCTTGATAAGAATGCAACATAGAATCGATTTGGCGCCTATGGCCAGCTTCTTGATAAGAATGATTTTGGCCAATATAGAATCGATTTGGCCTGGCCAGCTTCTTGATAAGAATGCAACATAGAATCGATTTGGGGCCTATGGCCAGCTTCTTGATAAGAATGCAACATAGACTCGATTTGGGGCCTGTGGCCAGCTTCTTGATAAGAATGCAACATAGACTCGATTTAAATAAATGGCGCCAATGGCCAGCATTTGATAAGAATGCAACATAGAATCGATTTGGGCCAATATAAGAATGAACATAGACTCGATTTGGGGCCATGGCCAGCTTCTTGATAAGAATGCAACATAGACTCGATTTGGCGCCTATGGCCAGCTTCTTGATAAGAATGGAACATAGAATCGATTTGGCGCCTATGGCCAGCTTCTTGATAAGAATGCAACATAGACTCGATTTGGCGGCCATTTTGATAAGAATTTGATAAGAATAAGAAACATAGACTCGATTTGGGGCCAATGGCGCCTATGAATGCCAGCTTCTTGATAAGAATGCAACATAGACTCGATTTGGCGCCTATGGCCAGCTTCTTGATAAGAATGCAACATAGAATCGATTGGCGCCTATGGCCAGCTTCTTGATAAGAATGCAACATAGACTCGATTTGGGGCCAATGGCCAGCTTCTTGATAAGAATGCAACATAGACTCGATTTCGATTTGGCCCCCTGGCCAGCTTCTTGATAAGAATGCAACATAGAATCGATTTGGCGCCAATGGCCAGCTTCTTGATAAGAATGCAACATAGACTCGATTTGGCGCCAATGGCCAGCTTGATAAGAATGCAACATAGAATCGATTGATAAGACAAATGCATTTGGGGACATAGAATCGATTTGGCGCCTATGGCCTTCTTGATAAGAATGCAATATAGAATCGATTTGGGACCAATGGCCAGCTTCTTGATAAGAATGCAACATAGACTCGGACGGGACCAATGGCCAGCTTCTTTGATAAGAATGCAACATAGACTCGATTTGGGGCCAATGGCCAGCTTCGATAATAAACATAGAATCGATTTGGCATCATAGAATCGATTTGATTTGGGCCTATGGCCAGCTTCTGATAAGAATGCAAATATAGAATCGATTTTGGCGCCTGGCCAGCTTGATAAGAATGCAACATAGACTCGATTTGGGCCAATGGCCAGCTTCTTGAAAGAATGAAAATATAGAATCGATTTGGCGCCAATGGCCAGCTTCTTGATAAGAATGCAAATATAGACTCGATTTGGCGCCCTACTTCTTTGATAAGAATGCAACATAGAATCGATTTGTGACCCTATGGCCAGCTTCTTGATAAGAATGCAAATAGACTCGATTTGGGGCCAATGGCCAGCTTCTTTGATAAGAATGCAATATAGACTCGATTTGGCGCCTGGCCAGCTTCTTGACAAGAATGCAAATATAGAATGCATGCCAATGGTCAGCTCTTGATAAGAATGCAACATAGAATCGATTTGGCGCCAATGAATGCCAACATAGACTCGATTTGGCGCCTATGGCCAGCTTCTTGATAAGAATGCATCATAGACTCGATTTGGGGCCAATGGCCAGCTTCTTGATAAGAATGCAACATAGACTCGATTTGGCGCCTATGGCCAGCTTCTTGATAAGAATGCAACATAGACTCGATTTGGCGCCTATGGCCAGCTTCTTGATAAGAATGCAACATAGACTCGATTTGGCGCCTATGGCCAGCTTCTTGATAAGAATGCAACATAGACTCGATTTGGCGCCTTGATGAATGCAAAATAGACTTTTAAAGCCTGGCTTGATAAGAATGCAACATAGACTCGATTTGGCGCCAATGGCCAGCTTCTTGATAAGAATGCAACATAGACTGACGATTTGCCAATGGCCAGCTTTGATAAGAATGGAACATAGACTCGATTTGGCGCCAATGGCCAGCTTCTTGATAAGAATGCAACATAGACTCGATTTGGCAACATAGAACTCGATTTGGCGCCATATGGCCAGCTTCTTGATAAGAATGCAACATAGACTCGATTTGGCGCCAATGGCCAGCTTCTTGATAAGAATGCAACATAGACTCGATTTGGCGCCAATGGCCAGCTTCTTGATAAGAATGCAACATAGAATCGATTTGGCGCCAATGGCCAGCTTCTGATAAGAATGCAACATAAGAATCTGTTGGGGCCATGGCCAGCTCGATTTAGACTCGATTTGCCAATGGCCAGCTTCTTGATAAGAATGCAACATAGAATCGATTTGGCGCCAATGGCCAGCTTCTTGATAAGAATGCAACATAGACTCGATTTGGCGCCAATGGCCAGCTTCTTGATAAGAATGCAACATAGACTCGATTTGGCGCCAATGGCCAGCTTCTTGATAAGAATGCAACATAGACTCGATTTGGGGCCAATGGCCAGCTTCTTGATAAGAATGCAACATAGAATCGATTTGGCGCCTATGGCCAGCTTCTTGATAAGGATGGAACATAGACTCGATTTGGGGCCAATGGCCAGCTTCTTGATAAGAATGCAACATAGACTCGATTTGGGGCCAATGGCCAGCTTCTTGATAAGAATGCAACATAGACTCGATTTGGTGCCAATGGCCAGCTTCTTGATAAGAATGCAACATAGACTCGATTTGGGGCCAATGGCCAGCTTCTTGATAAGAATGCCAACATAGACTCGATTTGGCATGATATGGCCACTTCTTGATAAGAATGCAACATAGACTCGATTTGGCGCCAATGACAAGAATGCCAGACTTCTTGATAAGAATGCAAATATAGACTCGATTTGGGACCAATGGCCAGCTTCTTGATAAGAATGGAACATAGACTCGATTTGGCGCCAATGGCCAGCTTCTTTAGTAAAGAATGCAACATAGAATCGATTTGGCGCCAATGGCCAGCTTCTTGATAAAATGCAACATAGACTCGATTTGGCGCCAATGACCCGCTTCTTGATAAGAATGCAACATAGAATCGATTTGGCGCCAATGGCCAGCTTCTTGATAAGAATGCAACATAGACTCGATTTGGCGCCAATGGCCAACTTCTTGATAAAGAATGGAACATAGACTCGATTTGGCGCCAATGGCCAGCTTCTTGATAAGAATGCAACATAGACTCGATTTGGGACCAATGGCCAACTTCTTGATAAGAATGGAACATAGACTCGATTTGGGACCAATGGCCCGGCTTCTTGATAAGAATGGAACATAGACTCGATTTACTTCTTGGGCAACCAATTTGGCGCTGATGGCCCGGCTTCTTGATAAAGAATGCAACATAGACTCGATTTGGCGCCAATGGCCAGCTTCTTGATAAGAATGCAACACATAGACTCGATTTGGGTAATGGCCAGCTTCTTGATAAAGAATGCAACATAGACTCGATTTGGCGCCAATGGCCAGCTTCTTGATAAGAATGCAACATAGACTCGATTTGGGACCAATGGCAAGCTTCTTGATAAGAATGGAACATAGACTCGATTTGGCGCCAATGGCCAGCTTCTTAAGAATGGAACATAGACTCGATTTGGGACCAATGGCAGCTTCTTGATAAGAATTTGCAACTTCTTGATAGACTCTCGATTTGGGACCAATGGCCACTTCTTGATAAAGAATGGAACATAGACTCGATTTGGCGCCAATGGCCAACTTTCTTGATAAGGAATGGAACATAGACTCGATTTGGGCCAATGGTAACTTCTTGATAAGAACATAGCTCGATTTGGCTGTTGGCTTCTTGATAAGAATGCAACATAGACTCGATTTGGCATAATGGCCCAGCTTCTTGATAAAGAATGGAACATAGACTCGATTTGGGACCAATGGCCAACTTCTTGATAAAATGGAACATAGACTCGATTTGGCGCCAATGGCCCGCTTCTTGTAAGAATGGAACATAGACTCGATTTGGGGCCAATGGCCAGCTTCTTGATAAGAATACAGCATAGACTCGATTTGGCGCCAATGGTAGCTTCTTGATAAGAATGCAACATAGATCGATTTGGCGCCAATGGCCCGGCTTCTTGATAAGAATGGAACATAGACTCGATTTGGCGCCAATGGCCCTTCTTGATAAAATGGAACGCATGGACTCGATTTGGCGCCAATGGCCAACTTCTTGATAAGAATGGAACATAGACTCGATTTGGGACCAATGGCCGAAATCTTGATAAGAATGGAACGCCAGACTCGATTTGGGACCAATGGCCAGCTTCTTGATAAGAATGCAACATAGACTCGATTTGGGACCAATGGCCCAGCTTCTTGATAAAGAATGGAACATAGACTCGATTTGGGCCTGTGGCAGCTTCTTGATAAGAATGGAACATAGACTCGATTTGGGACCAATGGCCAACTTCTTGATAAGAATGGAACATAGACTCGATTGGGACCAATGGCCAGCTTCTTGATAAGAATGGAACATAGACTCGATTTGGGACAATGGCCAGCTTCTTGATAGAATGGAACATAGACTCGATTTGGGACCAATGGCCAGCTTCTTGATAAAGAATGGAACATAGACTCGATTTGGCTTATAAGCCCAGCTTCTTGATAAGAATGGAACATGTAAGACTCGATTTGGGACCAATGGCCCGCAGCTTCTTGTAAGATGGGAACATAGACTCGATTTGGGACCAATGGCCAGCTTCTTGATAAGAATGGAACATAGACTCGATTTGGGACCAATGGCCAGCTTCTTGATAAGAATGGAACATAGACTCGATTTGGGACCAATGGCCAGCTTCTTGATAAAGATGGAACATGAACTCGATTTGGGACCAATGGCCAGCTTCTTGATAAGAATGGAACATAGACTCGATTTGGGACCAATGGCCAGCTTCTTGATAGAATGGAACATAGACTCGATTTGGCGCCTATGGCCAGCTTCTTGATAAAAATGCAACATGACTCGATTTGGCGCCAATGGCCAGCTTCTTGATAAGAATGGAACATAGACTCGATTTGGGACCAATGGCAGCTTCTTGATAGAATGGAACACTAGACTCGATTTGGCGCCAATGGCCTTCTTGATAAAATGGAACATAGACTCGATTTGGACCAATGGCCAGCTTCTTCGATAAAATGGAACATAGACTCGATTTGGCGCCAATGGCCCAGCTTCTTGATAAGGAATACAACATAGACTCGATTTGGGACCAATGGCCCTTCTTGATAAGAATGGAACATAGACTCGATTTGGGACCAATGGCCAGCTTCTTGATAAGAATGGAACATAGACTCGATTTGGGACCTATGGCCAGCTTCTTGATAAGAATGGAACATAGACTCGATTTGGGACCAATGGCCAGCTTCTTGATAGATGGAACATAGACTCGATTTGGGACCAAAGGCCAGCTTCTTGATAAAATGGAACATAGACTCGATTTGGCGCGCCTGGCCAACTAGCGATAAGAATGCAACATAGACTCGATTTGGCATAATGGCCAGCTTCTTGATAAGAATGGAACATAGACTCGATTTGGGACCAATGGCCAGCTTCTTGATAAGAATGGAACATGGACTCGATTTGGGACCAATGGCCAGCTTCTTGATAAAGATGCAACATAGACTCGATTTGGGTTAATGGCCAGCTTCTTGATAAAAAGAATGGAACATAGACTCGATTTGGGACCAATGGCCAGCTTCTTGATAAGAATGGAACATAGACTCGATTTGGCGCCTATGGCCACTTCTTGATAAGAATACCTTATAGACTCGATTTGGCGCCAATGGTAGCTTCTTGATAAGAATGGAACATAACAGACTCGATTTGGGACCAATGGCCAGCTTCTTGATAAAGAATGGAACATATGGACTCGATTTGGCGCCAATGTAGCTTCTTGATAAAGAATGGAACATAGACTCGATTTGGCGCCAATGGCCAGCTTCTTGATAAGAATGGAACATAGACTCGATTTGGGACCAATGGCCCAACTTCTTGATAAGAATGGAACATAGACTCGATTTGGCGCCTATGGCCAGCTTCTTGATAAGAATGGAACATAGACTGGATTTGGCGCCAATGGCCAGCTTCTTGATAAGAATGGAACATAGACTCGATTTGGGACCAATGGCCCAGCTTCTTGATAAGAATGGAACATAGACTCGATTTGGCGCCAATGGCCACTTCTTGATAAGAATGCAACATAGACTCGATTTGGCGCCAATGGCCAGCTTCTTGATAAGAATGGAACATAGACTCGATTTGGGACCAATGGCCGCTTCTTGATAAGCCAACATAGACTCGATTTGGCGCCAATGGTAGCTTCTTGATAAAGAATGCAACATAGACTCGATTTGGCGCCAATGGCCAGCTTCTGATAAGAATGCAACATAGACTCGATTTGGGACCAATGGCCAGCTTCTTGATAAGAATGGAACATAGACTCGATTTGGCGCCAATGGCCAGCCCTTGATAAGAATGCAACATAGACTCGATTTGGCGCCAATGGCCAGCTTCTTG